GGTAGTGTAGGTATACCCCAGTAAACTACTACACTGGTAGTGTAGGTATACCCCAGTAAACTAATACACTGGTAGTGTAGGTATACCCCAGTAAACTACTACACTGGTAGTGTAGGTATACCCCAGTAAACTAATACACTGGTAGTGTAGGTATACCCCAGTAAACTAATACACTGGTAGTGTAAGTATACCCCAGTAAACTAATACACTGGTAGTGTAGGTATACCCCAGTAAACTAATACACTGGTAGTGTAGGTATACCCCAGTAAACTACTACACTGGTAGGGTAGGTATACCCCAGTAAACTACTACACTGGTAGTGTAGGTATACCCCAGTAAACTACTACACTGGTAGTGTAGGTATACCCCAGTAAACTACTACACTAGGTATACCCCAGTAAACTAATACACTGGTAGTGTAGGTATACCCCAGTAAACTAATACACTGGTAGTGTAGGTATACCCCAGTAAACTACTACACTGGTAGTGTAGGTATACCCCAGTAAACTACTACACTGGTAGTGTAGGTATACCCCAGTAAACTACTACACTAGGTATACCCCAGTAAACTACTACACTGGTAGTGTAGGTATACCCCAGTAAACTACTACACTAGGTATACCCCAGTAAACTAATACACTGGTAGTGTAGGTACAGGAAAGTAAGGTAGAAATATGATATTAATTTTATTTAATGTCTTGAGATATCAAAATCTGATCATGTATTATAACGCTATAGTGTTCCTGGGTACGCAGTGATATACTGAAAATTTTACCACACTTGGAATGGAATATATCCAGTGAAAGGAAATAAGATATATTTTGAACTGAGGGTAGTTAAATAAAGGCTGATATGGCCTAAAAAAGTCTTTATAATTGTGATTTTATAAAATGTAGTGTTAAAGTTGTTTATGTTTCATGATGGATGCATTAACAAAAAAATACCTGGAAATTGAATTCTTTAAGGAAATCAGAGTTTATCCCTTAACTTTATAAATGATGTATCCTGCTTTTTGTAAGATTGTGAATATTTGAACAATAAGGGGGGAAAAACATTTTTAGTCTGAATAAGAAATGATAGGTGAATGACTAAGATTAAACAAATGACAATATTTTTTGTTAAGTTCTGAAAACAAAAGAAACAGGATGATGTACAGGCCCCATGTGCCTTTCTCAGGGGGAAACCCTGTACATAAGACATTAAGCGTACTTTTATTTGGGAATAGGTTAGATATCATGGTTAACTTGAAAAAATGTGTGTTTATAGGTATATTGTATGTTTTGAAAACAATGGATTTAAAGACACTTTGGATGTGGAGACACAATGTCACTTAGTCTGTAAGTTTCGAAGCAACACTTCGGGAAATTGCCATGGATACATGTGGTAAGCAAAGTCCTCACTAAGTAAAGTAGAATAAGGTTCCTGAAGTAAAGACAATATGGTTTAGTCCCTCTCCAGCACTACCTCAAACCTCCTACTACAGGTTGTTGAATCGATTTGCTTTATATATTTATAAATTAGATATTCTGAGTAATTTTTAGTCTAATACATATTGATTGCTGAAACATTGCTTCAACATCTTTCATCCTTTAATTCAATTTGAGTTCTGCTGAGAGCTTTGTGAAATCAATATTTCTAGAATTCTAGATTAAGGATTAAAATCGGTTACTGTATAATCAATAGTGCTTTTTACTCTTTTGAATAGATTTTCATATGATTCAAGCTTGTCTGTGGTGGTGTACAAGGACATATTCCATAGCAGAATACTTCATCCGCTGAAGAAAACCTTTCAACGGCTAATATCTTATATAAATGTAGATAAGCCTTGTACACAGCATGTCTTTATAGTGGAATCACGAGGCAGACATTCTCATTTCTTTCTCATTTCTAACCCGATCGTGGTGAAAATATCAGTTATGTAATACATCAATGTCAGCAGGGTGTGTTTAAATGTCAAAACTAAACACCTTATGTAACTAGAATTGGTTGTAGTTGTCTCATCAAGTGTGTACAACAATAAGTCACCAGGTCCACAACACATGGGGTAACACCCTACATATCTGTTGGTACATCACACCATACATATCTGTTGGTACATCACACCATACATATCTGTTGGTACATCACACCATATATATCTGTTGGTACATCACACCATACATATCTATTGGTACACTACACCCTACATATCTGTTGGTACATCACACCATACATATCTGTTGGTACATCACACCATACATATCTATTGGTACACTACACCCTACATATCTGTTGGTACATCACACCATACATATCTGTTGGTACATCACACCATACATATCTGTTGGTACATCACACCCTACATATCTGTTGGTACACTACACCATACATATCAGTTGGTACACTACACCATACATATCTGTTGGTACATCACACCCTACATATCTGTTGGTACATCACACCATACATATCTGTTGGTACAGTACACCCTACATATCTGTTGGTACATTATACCATTAACAGCCAGGGCCATTTTGAGCCAGGTCTTTGTGTATTAGCTGGTTGCTTTCTCTCTGAACCTCATGTGGGAGGCCAACCGCATGCCATCTAACGTGATACTAATTGGATGATTAAGTGACTTGCCCACAATAAAGGGCAGTCTGGGATATATTTTGTTACATCCTGGTGTATGCTGTGTAATAAGAAGGAATAATGAAAAACACCCAGCCAGGACTTAGGTTTGAACTAGTGACCCTTTGGTCTCTAGCCAGAGACTCTACCACTCAACTAAAGGAAAAATTTGCATTAGATGAGACTAGTATGATGACCTGTACACTCAACTTCTACAACTGTTTATGATATACTTATATTGGAAAATTTGTTCATGGCATATAGTAAATTTCCTGTTTCAAAGTTTTGGCCACAGAAACATGTTTATGCTACACACAATATGTATATCAATTGTTATAAAGAATTATCATTTGCTAGACAACTTGATATCAGCTGTCATTATTGAATATTTTACATTGTAAATAATTGAATGATTGTCTGGCCTGCAACATATGGGGACATTCTCGTGTAGTGTCAGACTGCAATATGTAGCAATGGTTGTAATTGATTGTAACAGTTAAGCAGGGACATGAGAGTTGGAGATACCATCACGTTCCACCCCAAAGTCCCTCGGGATCCCTCAAAAGATTTCATAGGCCTTTGTTTTCTGCCTCAACAGATGTACTCTTGGTCTTCCATATTATCTCATTACCGACTAATATGCCCCAAGGGGAGACAATTATGTCTCAATTACACTTGGATGGAGATTGTGCATCCAGTTTAAACTGGTTACATAGAAAACAAGCAGAGCTGCACTAATTTGTCGTCATAGCATCGATTAATGTCCTCTCAATTGCTAAAATTAGCTTGTAGATGTGATGCTTCACAGTTATGACTTTGGTTCTGATATGATAGCTTGGTATGTAAAAATTAAGGCATTCTGTATGAAAGAAGGATGTTTTATTGTTTCATAATTTAGGCATACAAATTGTAAGTCTCTCACTGCAGTTATTGACTGCATAAACATATCATATCTCACAATCTTTTAATTACTGTAATAAGTGAACTACAGAAAGCAGAAACATGATTAAAACTTCAAATGGAAGACGACATGTCAGAGAGCACAGTTTTAGTTTTCACAATTTCATAAAGTTTTTTTTTTAATGCGCAAAAAAAAAAGAGATTTTTTTTTTTATTGGACATCGATGGAATGGACTAAGGTTTTTTCTTTTAATTTTGTTTTTCAAAGAATATGTAATGGTGATTTCCTACCATTCCTGGTAAAAGAGGGAAAAAATAGTACCTTGAAAACAACAATTTTTACTGTAGCTAATTAATGAAAATCATCAGCAGTTTGACTATAACATTAAGCGTGTACTTGTAAGAATATGTTGATGTTGAAATATCTCTCCTGATTACAATATCAGCTTTCATTCTTTGTTGTGGAACTTTACCTCACTTAAAATGAAGTTGTATCCCATTGAATCAATACTCAGTAATTGGTATGGAACATAACTGCACTATGCTAGGTTGTTCTCATAATGTTAGCATTCATCAATCATGTTGAAGCATTATAGAAATGAGAAAGAGAGTGCTGTTAAATTAAATATCGCCTCCCTTTTGTATCAATCATTGAGTTACCGTAGAAACATGGTATGGTTTTTTGCCAGTTTCTACCATGAATTATTGTCAAGTATTTGTATAAATCCTTTTGACACAAACAATGGTTGGAAATGATCAATGGCTCTGGATTTTTAATGTCAGCAGTAATGGTATATAGGTTAGCAGTCAGAATCTCTCCTGGGTACCGTAGCCCCTCACAGAATCAATACTATAATGACTGAGTGATGTAAATAATGTATTGAATGCAATACTTAATGTTGTGTATGGTATTCCTGTTCACTACTGTCTCTTCTCCATATCTTAAAAAATAAAAAAGATGTATAATTTCTTTGTAAATCAATGATTGCCTCTTCTCCATATCATAAACAACTTATGTATGGTTTCAGTGTAAGGCCTCTGAATGGTTGTTCTGGCCTGTGTCTTGCTGATCAGGCCTCTGACTGGTTGTTCTGGCCTGTGTCTTGCTGATCAGGCCTCTGACTGGTTGTTCTGGCCTATGTCTTGCTGATCAGGCCTCTGACTGGTTGTTCTGGCCTGTGTCTTGCTGATCAGGCCTCTGACTGGTTGTTCTGGCCTGTGTCTTGCTGATCAGGCCTCTGACTGGTTTATCTGATCTCTGACTGGTTGTTCTGGCCTGTGTCTTGCTGATCAGGCCTCTGACTGGTTGTTCTGGCCTGTGTCTTGCTGATCAGGCCTCTGACTGGTTGTTCTGGCCTGTGTCTTGCTGATCAGGCCTCTGACTGGTTTATCTGATCTCTGAATGGTTGTTCTGGTCTCTGACTGGTTAATCTGGCCTGTGTCTTACTGATCAGGCCTCTGACTGGATGATCCGGACTCTGACAGGCTGATTAGGCCTTTAACTGGTTGGTCTGGCTTCTGACTTGTTGATCCAGACTCTGACTGGTTGATCCGGACTCTGACAGGCTGATCAGGCCTTTAACTGGTTGGTCTGGCTTCTGACTTGTTGATCCAGACTCTGACTGGTTGATCTGGCCTCTGACTGGTTGGTGTGGCCTCTGACTGGTTGGTCTGGCCTCTATCTGGTTGATATGGCCTCTGACTGGTTGATCTGGCCTCTGATTGGTTGGTGTGGCCTCTGACTGGTTGATCTTGCTTCTGTCTGGTTGGTGTGGCCTCTGACTGGTTAATATGGCCTCCATCTGGTTGATATGGCCTCTGACTGGTTGATCTGGCCTCTGATTGGTTGGTGTGGCCTCTGATTGGTTGGTGTGGCCTCTGATTGGTTGGTGTGGCCTTTGACTGGTTGATCTTGCTTCTGACTGGTTGGTCTGTCCTCTGACTGGTTGATCTGTCCTCTGATTGGTTGGTGTGGCCTCCATCTGGTTGAACTGGCCTCTGACTGGTTGATCTGTCCTCTGACTGGTTGATATGGCCTCTGACTGGTTGGTCTGGCCTCTGACTGGTTGGTCTGGCCTCTGACTGGTTGATATGGCCTCTGACTGGTTGATCTGTCCTCTGATTGGTTGGTGTGGCCTCTGACTGGTTAATATGGCCTCCATCTGGTTGATATGGCCTCTGACTGGTTGGTGTGGCCTCTGACTGGTTGGTCTGTCCTCTGACTGGTTGGTCTGGCCTCTGACTGGTTGATATGGCCTCTGACTGGTTGGTCTGGCCTCTGACTGGTTGATATGGCCTCTGACTGGTTGGTCTGGCCTCTGACTGGTTGGTGTGGCCTCCATTTGGTTGATATGGCCTCTGATTGGTTGGTGTGGCCTCTGACTGGTTAATATGGCCTCCATCTGGTTGATATGGCCTCTGACTGGTTGGTCTGTCCTCTGACTGGTTGGTCTGGCCTCTGACTGGTTAGTCTGTCCTCTGACTGGTTGGTCTGGCCTCTGACTGGTTGATATGGCCTCTGACTGGTTGATATGTCCTCTGACTGGTTGATATGTCCTCTGACTGGTTGATATGGCCTCTGACTGGTTGATATGGCCTCTGACTGGTTGATATGTCCTCTGACTGGTTGGTCTGGCCTCTGACTGGTTGATATGTCCTCTGACTGGTTGATCTGCTTTCTGTCTGATTTATCTGACCTCTGTCTTGTTGATCAGAACCTTAACTAGCTGATTTGACCCATAGTTGGCTGATCTCACCACACATGGGTTGCAAATTTTGAACTTTAAAATTTTCCACAAAGTCAGATGTAACTAAATTTGATACGGTGATTGCTGTTTCGGCCTTTAAATTTGAATGTTCTAAAATAAAAAAGCATTCTGCATACAATATATGGAAGTTGTATTTATCATCCTTTCACTTTCAGGTAGGATGTTTCACAAGAGGACAAAGCGAAGACATTCCGTACCAGACCTATAACGGTCAATGTGTTGAACCATGTCATAAGTATGTAGACTGTTTGAAATCAATTATTCTTAAAGTCACATTCCTGTGTAAATTCTAACAATTTCAGTATATCTTTATGCTGTATCTCTTATTAACTGAAAAGAATATAGTCATAATATTTAAAATATAATTATTATTATTTTTGTTTGTAAATAAAGTCTATTTATTATGTTAAGAACCCCACAGTGTATCAGTACCTGTATATTCTTTATTACTTTCAGTTTCACAGTCATTCCTCCGTCAGTGTTCTCGGCAAAATGTACAAAATGACTGCATTCCAAAACTTTATAACAACATTACTGCTGATGATAAATATTCCATCGTCTTTCATGGCGAGAATAGGTAAGTGAACACACACGTTGAACAAGAAAACAGGATACGGGTATTTCTGAGGTACATAAAAGTAGTATAGAAATATCTTTAAAAGGATCCTTGAGCATTTGAGGAATATCAAGTCATTTTGATAATAACACTGATATTTGCATCTTTGATTACAAAGATGCAGTTCTCAGTTGCATTGTATGTGCAGGTGATGTAAGAGATAGCATAATGGTTTGTTTCTAATGACTGATGGTCATTATGGAATAGTTTGGTTTTTTTCTGATTTTTTCGTGTTTGGTTTTATGTAGTTGATCGACCACCCCATGTGATTCAACAGCCGAGCCCAATCCCATATCGAGGCTGTGCAGAGTGTGTCCAGGGTGACCGTGTACTTGTATACTTTAAGGAAGGAGATACCATCACTCTCACCTGTCAGGCCAGTGGTCGACCTGCTCCAGAGTAAGTTACTCTAACCTGTTCTTTCATCTGTGTGACATGTCCATTATTTTGGTAACCTGACATTATGTTATTGTGATATGTTATGAGCTACAGTTCTGTTTCTCATGCTACAGGTACACTTGGACTAAAAATGGAAGGGAAATAGACTTTGATGCAGTAGAATATATATCACCCATTACTAATATAACACGGATAGTGTCAGAAGTTACTGGTGGTTCGTTAACAATTGAAGAGACATCAGACTACGATATAGGCCTTTATCAGTGTTCTGCTTACAACACACTGGGCAGGTCACTGTCTAAAAAAGTTCAAATGATCAAAGCCGTGAATGAACCATTTCCCTCAGTGACAGTACCAAAGAGGATAAATGTTGTAATTGGAAACTCAGTTACACTCACTTGTAACCCTCCTCTTAGTATACCTAAAGCCATTGTGTATTGGACCGACACCAATGACCCGTCCAGTGCAGGGTCAAGGATTACACTGGACGATCGAGTCGTCATGGACTATTCTGGTAATTTTGAGTCAAAGATCACAAATTGTAACAAAACTATTTATGATTTTTTTTTTTTTTTTTTTGAAAATTATAATGACACTCAGAACACAGAGATAAATACAATTAAATTTTGGCATTGAAAGATGCTTTCATCTGTTTATAAATTAGTTAAAAGCCATGATTGAATCTTTTGATTTTATTTACATGGTGTAATGTTTGTATCACCACATCTGGTTTGTTCGGGCCGAAGTTTTTGCTTATTATCAAATGTTTCTTAATCAGTTTATAACTCAAGATGGCATTTCAGATCTTATAAAGATATAATGAAGTCCTTTTTATTTCTAAACTTTGATGATCATAGTTTATCATAACATCCGATATTTAGCTAAAATATCAAAACTTAAACAGTTGAAAAAAAAATATGTGATGCTAATTGCATGTGGTCACTTTATTTTCAGGAAATCTACACTTTGCCAATGTAATCCCATCAGATAATAGAAGTGGAGAGCCATATGTTTGTAACGCCTGGCAGAAAACTGTCTTCAGATCATTTCTTCAGGGAGACGACAAAATCATACAAACAAAAGGATGTAGGTCAACTTTCACAGAGTCATCTCTTTGTTTCATAAAAACACGTTGATTTTTGACTGAATTTTCTGTGATAAAATTCAGATCAGCTGATCAAAGTATCACAACAAATTCCTGTCCACCTTCGTATACTTTTTGTCAAGATCCTGACTTCAGAACAAATAGTGAATAGGTTTTATTTGGATAATTTTTGGGGGGAAAAGATGAACTGAAATTACATGTATATTGGTATCATCCAACAAAATCCATTGTCATTTGCTGAAAAGGATATTTTACAATAAACTGGTACTCAAATTTCACCAAAATACAGCATAAAGTCTCAACTGTGTATATGACAGGTATATTACTGTAGATAAGGGGAAATACCCAGTTCATTTTGATTGGAGTTTTGCAAAGTTCAAGGTTATTCTTACTTAAATTGGAAATTTCATTGATATATATATAAGGATTTCTTTTCAGTGACAAATTGATACAGGTGATCTTAATGTAATTAATTTTTGTTGCAGCCATGGGCAAATTTCCAGTGAGTGTGATGTGGCATTCCAATAGAACAGTGATAGGACTTCTCGGAGAAACAGCAAAATTTATGTGTATATTTGCTGGAAAGTAAGTACACAAATAAGGGTACCTTAAAAACTACTCTTCTTAAAATACACCTCTCTTAAGAGACTTGACCTCCATCAGGATATTTGACTTTTAAACTCTTTCCATACGTGATCCTCTTTGAGGTTTATAAAATACTTGATGAAGGTTTCAGAATTAAGATTTGGTTATCTGTCTATATGTCTCATCAGCATTATGTCTATGCCTGGTAAAAATTACCAACAATGCTTTTTCAATGTTCTAACTGTCTTATTGTATGCTGTAACCTGACATTTGTCTTACTTAATGCTTTACATGGTGTTTGATTTCTGGATTTTTACTCTATTGAAAATTATGATTAGTACATATTCAGTATTTATCACTTGGACCTGAAACATGTAACCGACTTGTGGCACGAATAAATTGTGTAATGGATCAGAACAGGTCGTGTTTTGCTCACTCCTTACAGTTATATTTAGCATTTGTTTGCCAATAAGCCCAGGCCCACTCATATCTATTGCTGTCCAGTGGAATTATTAATTGTCCTACAATCATCTCACTTCCCGACTTTGTGTCAGTTATATACAGTATGTCCTTGTGGGTAAGGGGAGATAATAGCTGAGTATGATGATAGGGCCTGACATGCTGTATATATTATGTATTGCATGTTTCAGCCCTACCCCTAAGATAACTTGGAAACACAGAGGTATTCCTATGGAGAATAAAACTGGACACGAGCTCATCATTAAAAACCTAAAGTATAGTAACCAGGGAGACTACGAGTGTGAGGGTCAAAACAAACTCTCAAAAGGCATCGTCGTGAGATTTTCTCTCACTGTTGAGTGTAAGTATAGTAACCAGGGAAACTAAACTCTCAAAAAGCGCTGTTGTTAAGATTTCCTCTCGATGTCCAGTGTTCATAGAGTAACCAGGAAAACTTTGAGTGTTAGGGTCAAAACAAACCCTCTAATGTCGAGGATGAGATTCATCAGATGACCAACTTGGTATTTCTTCAGTATTGACTTATCCTATTTTTATGTTATTGAGTCACAGCGCAAAGAAAAGTGTGTGCTCTAAATAAACCACAAAGCAGTTTACGTCAAGAGTATACATTGTTACTGTTATTGATAAATAACATTATAAAAAAAATTAAATATAAAAAATAAATTCTCTTTTATCACACACTGCAATATTTTTGACGTCCATAAAGGATGCTTTTCTTGGATAATTTCTTTCACCCCCCACCTTGGCCAATCAAATATGAGGTTACAAAATGATGTAAATTTCTTGAGTTATAGGGTGATAACATGAAAAAAATGGCCATTGAAAATATTTGTTTTAAATAGAAATTGATTATTTGTCAGGAAAGTGAAACATTTGAGATATTTTTGTGATTGTACAGCCCAGCCATCATGGGCTACCCCTCCGGTGAATCAGGATGTTGGAGTTACTGAGGATGCTACATTCCAGTGTATACCTCAAGGACTTCCGAAACCCACAGTGGAATGGTTCATCAACGGCAAACCTATTAGTGGTAAGTCTATCATTACTGATACCATTGTAGTCCTCGTAAGATTGACTTTTCTGTGATACCAATTAAACCTACTAAAACCTATCAGTGGTAAGTCTCCGTCATTACTGATACCATTGTAGTCCTCGTAAGATTCACTTTTCTGTGATACCAATTAAACCTACTAAAACCTATCAGTGGTAAGTCCGTCATTACTGATACCATTGTAGTCCACGTAAGATTGAATTTTCTGTGATGCCAATTAAACCTACTAAAACCTATTATTTGTGTTCATGAGTCAAGTTTATTTTTTTTAGGCAAACATACATATATTTTTTAATGAATAATATAAGAATGTTTCTTTTTTAGCTGACTTTCAAAAATGTAACTTTTAAACTAATTGAAACTGTGATATTGAATGTGACAATCAGTTACTAGGAGATCAGTGGTTAGATTTCATTGTCAGCATTATCTGTTAAGGCACTTTTCTCTGGTTTTTAGAAGTACCAGCTACTCGGCGGACCCTAGCTAACGATGTTCTGACATTCCAAAACCTAGAAAGGCATGATTCTCAAGTCATTCAGTGCTTAGCAACCAACAAACATGGCACTTTATGGGCGGATGTTTATCTCAATGTTCTTGGTAACCAAATTGATACAGCATTTTACTAAAATTTTTAAAAATTTATAAATTTTAGCTCAGTTTGAATATGTAGAAACTTGAAAAGAATTTTGTGAATGGATCGAATTGTAAAAAAGAAAATCTTAGTTTTCACTACTATTTTCTATGTTGAAACGATAGCTGTATGTATAAAAGAGGATAATACTGTATTTGTCTGTATTTCTGACGGACTAAAAAAGATATATTTTTCCAATTTTTCAATTCACTCAAATGGGAATGAATAGAGAGATAAAAATAATTGATTAAGTCAAAGTTTGGGTAATTTGAATTTGTCATAGAATGATTCTGATTCTCCTGGAAATTTATTGAATCTGTTTAATGCTATTGTCACACCCAGAATGGTGTTAAAGGACCCAGGATGACAACTAGTGATTAGACAAAAGACAATGAGCTTTAAAGTTTTGATGAAATTTTGATGACAAAGGTCTCAAATATTTCTTCAAAGGTCCTAAAGTTAAGATGAAACAGAGCATTCATATGCCTTATCCCCATGTCTGTCCATGATTTTGCAGTGCTCTCAGCTGTTTAATATCAGTTCTGATTAAAACATTTTAGCTTATGGACCTGAGATCACCAGCGGGCCTGGTCAGCTGACCGTAGCTGAAGGTCAGTCTGTGACCTTGACCTGTGAAAATGATGGAAAACCACAACCTCAACTGACTTGGAACAAAGGAGCACAAGTTCTTCGGGGGAGTCGGTACACCCAAACTGGATCCTCCATCACCATTGCAGTAAGATTCAAGTTGTTTAATGACTTAAAAAAAATCTGACACATAGACATATACTTTGTGTAAAACTATGAATACCCACCCTTCCATATATTGACTTATTGTTAATCCATCATCCATTGTCCATCTGTCTCTCTCCATCTATTGTCTCTCATCTCTCTGTATCCGGCCATGGTTCATTATTTGTCTCCTTCCGTCCATCGACCTTCATCTGTCTGTCCATCCATCGACAATGTCAAGGTCACTTATTGGAAAGAACTTTCATTTTGGTTTTTTTGTTGCTAATGTAAACATTCATATACCTTTTCATTCAGGATGTCTCTAGCGCTGATGGTGGTACCTACACTTGTACAGCTAGAAATAAGTACGCCATTAAATCCAGCTCAGGCTCTCTCACCGTACGAAGTGAGTACAAGACATTAGGGAAATCTCATGTATTCTAGAGGATCTGGGGTCACAATTTATAATCAAATGTTTAATGAATCTATTTTTTACCTTCACTTAACATCACATTGATAATGAGATAGTTGACCTCATTAGATTTAATGATAAGTCTATTCAAACCCCATTTCTGTTTGTATATCCAGTGCTTTACTTATGTTATATTCTTATTTTTTTCCCAGAGAGGACACGCATCATCTCTGCTCCACAGGACAAAAATGTCACATTTTCTAGCCCAGTGATCTTTAAGTGTAACGCTTTCACAGACAGTGCTGAGTCGGATAACCTTAAAATCAGCTGGTTGAAAGATGGCGTTCCCTTAGATACAAGTGACCCCAATATTGAGATGAGGCCTGATGGCTTTAAAATCAAGGAGACTTCTAGTGCTTATACAGCTAACTACACCTGCTGGGCACACAATGGAATAGACGAGGCCAAGGCCACAGCAGAACTCAAGGTCAGAGGTCAGTATGAATGCAAGTAAAGTCAAGCTCAATATAAAATCAAGGTCAGTATAAAATCAAAGTAATTGTAAAGTCAAGGTCAGTATAAAATCAAAGTAATTGTAAAGTCAAGGTCAGTGTAAGGTCAGTGTAAAATCAAGGTCATTATGAAGTCAAGGTGAGAAAAAGGTCATAGTCATTACCATTCATTATATATCTGAATACAACACAAATATTGAAGAACACATTTTAGATGTCATTTTTGAAGCTTTTTCCTGTCTTAATCAATAATCTCTATTGCGATATCTTGATATTTTCAAGTATTTGCAAATGATTCTGATATTATGCCACAATACCTCACAGTACAAGTCTGAAGTTAATTTGAAAAAATAGGATTTAGTCTTTCCACTGAATAACACTGAATTGTAACTATGACTTCAACATACTTTACCTTACAGCTCCTCCAGACCCATCAAGGAATATTCTAGTACTAAACTGTGATACCAGGAGTGTATCACTGCGCTGGGAGAAGGCTAGAGACAACTACTCTCCAATAGAACGTTATGTGGTAGAGAAGCACAGTGGATTTAATCCTGGCCAATGGAAATATCTTACTGAAACGGATGGCACTGTAACGGAGGTGGTAGCTGAATTGTCTGCCTGGGTTAACTACACATTTAGAGTTAAAGCGTTCAATGGATTTGGGGAAGGGATGCCTTCTGACCCCTCAGAACCTATCTGTAGAACGCAGAAAGATTATCCTGATCAACACCCAAAAAATGTGCACATTATTGACAATGAACCAAACTTCCTCATTGTGGAATGGGATGTAAGTGTATACAAAGCTCTGAAATATATCCTTTTTTTATTTTTAAATTGGGTTGTGAGTCAAAGAATTTGGTCTAAAATGGATGTTCATGGTCTGAATAATATTTATGTATTCTCTTAGAAGTCTCCATGTTACACTGTAGGTCAGCATAGTTGATAATATTGATGGTCGCTTCAGATGGATGCTATGTGTGGTCACTATGAACGGTCACTAGGACTGGTTTCTGGTTACTGTGGGTGGTTCCTATAAACGGTTATAACTGGTGATTACTTATACTATGTATGGTAACTATGGGTGGTAAGTAAATGTGGTTATATCTGATCGTTGCTATGGGTGGTCGTTACGGATGGTTACACAGTCACTCACCACAAAGAATCAATTTTATTGTACTGTAGGCAATGGATCCCATTCTGCACAACGCCCCTGGGTTCAGATATAGGCTTATAGCCAGGAACAAGAAGACGGGCTACCTTCATAAATTTGTCATCGATGATTATCTGGACACACGGAAAAAAATTCAAACAGACGACATCTACCAAGAGTATGAGGTCTACGTTATGGCATCTAATGAAGTTGGAGATGCACTGCCTGTTCCACTAACTAATATTGGTCACTCTGGAATGTGGGGTAATATATATTATATTGAACAATGCCTTCACCATAGAGTCGTATCATGGTCAGGGAACTGACAACTTAAATGGTTTCTGGCATTTTCCTAGATTTTATACCCTTCATATTGGTGCTTGCGTCTAACCATTTTTTTGATGCACCTGATTGAGGAATGCACAAAGTGATGACATTCGTAATAAGTTAAAACCAGATGTTATTTTCAACATTAGTTACATATATTCCGATACTTAAATAAATGTCCAACATTGTTGGATAAATTTATGATCAAATCAATGATGTACTCGGGAGTTCTGACACTAGCCCAAAAATGGCTGGCACCTTACCTTGTATGGCAGATGATAAAAGTCAGTTTGTCGGTAATGTCCAGGTGTATTTTCTCCCAACCGTTACTGGATGATTTGACAGAATGATACATAAAGTCCAATCTCCATTTGAAAGAATTGTACTGACAACTTTGGATAAGTCTTCTGTCATGATTTCTTGTGATGTCTCTCCACATTGGCAGTCGTTTTATCGACCTACTTCAGTGAACTTTACTATTCAGCGATAGATATCTGGTATATACACTAGCAATCAATATAAACAACATTTTTAGGGAAGATGATTCACACTGAGAATCATTTTAAGCCTTGACCTACATCCTGACCCAAATCTATCAAAAACTTGACTAGAAAGTGGGCAGACCTCCTTCGTCATCAATGATTGAAAGGAGCGTTTTCATTGGCTAAGAACATGAGAGGGACCTTTCAGAAAAATGTTTAGCAGGACTTAGTTTTTGTTTCATTTTGTTGATATTGCAGTTATAACAGCATTTTTAGATTTTTATTTACAATTGGGATAGTTTGATTTTGCATTTTCTGGAGGTAAAATCATTTGTTGTTTAAACATGAGACGAATAAATCCAAAATTCATTTTCTAATCTCAAGTGTATGCTTAAAAATAAACATACCCAAATTAAAAATGTTATTTTAAAAAATGTTAAGAATTAATTTTGAAAAACATTAAAAATGATCTGTTATGATGACACATATTTACAGTTCCCAACGTGGTTCCAACAAACTTTGAGCTGGACCCGGATATGAACATTACCTATGAAGAGGCAGGATTCAGATGGGACCCAGTAGATGACAGTCCAGAGGCAATGCAGGGCAAATTTGAGGGCTATAAGGTCAGGCAAACAAGTCTTTATCTTTATCATGTTACATTAATGTTTAATTTTATCATTTTGGATTGAAAGCTAATGCTGCTATGACTCACCAGTGTATTAAAAAAATATACATTGTTGCATTGTCAACATTCTAATGATGTCACATCGTTTACAACAGCTGTTGTAGTGAGTACCAGCTGACATGTCAGTATATTTGTGTGTTGTTCAATGTTTCTACGTATTTGGAATGATAACGCTAGCACTACTGGAAGATGTTAAACGTAAGTGCAGTTTTAGCATGAGCTATCAAATTCATGACAGATTTACCACTAAACTTTAAGTTTTACTGCTTGTGGTGGCTCCACATCAGTTGTCATGAGTTTGAGAGGATTTAGTTTACAAATATGTTTGTTTAGGCAGTGAATCATATACCCTCACTTGAAACTTAGCTGGTTTGTGTGTGAATAATTATCTACAATGGGTGGCAACTGCTCCAAAACATGGCTGTACATTTATTCTTAATTTTGATAGTTTACCAAGGTTGTGTGATACCTAGGAAAAAATTGGTGAAAAATTCTGAGTGATGTTGATGCTGCTTTGGATGATCTGTTAAATCATAAAACGGCCTAAAACAACCACATATCAGTTTATCATAGATACATGGCAAGATGATATGTAAAATCTTAGTTTTTGTTGAGATCCTGTTTTTTCAATTTATTTTTTCATGAAGTTCTTCATTAATACCCATGCATCTTAGTTCAGATGATGCTTTCTAAATTTTTCAATAAAGTTTCGGTAAATTTTAGATTCGATACTGGACCCCAGACAATCCAGACAAGAAATTTGAGGTCATTGTTCGTAAAGAGTTCCTACATGGCAGCCGTACGCGACGGGAAACCTACAAGGAGACTGCTATAGTGAAGAACTTGCCAGCATTTAAAAACCTACAGCTTGATGTGGTAGCCATTAATACTTATCATGAGTCCAATGGTAGTAACGTCCTGAACTTGACCACACCTGAAGGCGGTAAGTGACATCTGGCTCAGATTTTCACCTTATTTTCAGAGTAATAGGAAGCAAAGATTGATGGGATCAAAGTAATACATTGTTCTTCACTTAGTGAACATCTACATTATTAAAGCTTAGTGTGTAAGCCCTGAAATGAATCTACCAGGGTTGTTCATATTGTAAGCCCCAAAATGAAGCTTGATATATACCAGGGTTGTTCATATTGTAAGCCCCAAAATGAAGCTTGATATATATCAGGGTTGTTCATATTGTAAGCCCCAAAATGAAGCTTGATATATACCAGGATTGTTAGTTTTGTAAGCCCCTAAATGAAGCTTGATATATATCAGGGTTGTTCATATTGTAAGCCCCAAAATGAAGCTTGATATATACCAGGATTGTTAGTTTTGTAAGCCCCTAAATGAAGCTTGATATATATCAGGGTTGTTCATATTGTAAGCCCCAAAATGAAGCTTGATATATACCAGGATTGTTAGTTTTGTAAGCCCCTAAATGAAGCTTGATATATACCAGGATTGTTAGTTTTGTAAGCCCCAAAATGAAGCTTGATATATACCAGGATTGTTAGTTTTGTAAGCCCCTAAATGAAGCTTGATATATATCAGGGTTGTTCATATTGTAAGCCCCAAAATGAAGCTTGATATATACCAGGATTGTTAGTTTTGTAAGCCCCTAAATGAAGCTTGATATATATCAGGGTTGTTCATATTGTAAGCCCCAAAATGAAGCTTGATATATACCAGGATTGTTAGTTTTGTAAGCCCCTAAATGAAGCTTGATATATATCAGGGTTGTTCATATTGTAAGCCCCAAAATGAAGCTTGATATATACCAGGATTGTTAGTTTTGTAAGCCCCTAAATGAAGCTTGATATATACCAGGATTGTTAGTTTTGTAAGCCCCAAAATGAAGCTTGATATATACCAGGATTGTTAGTTTTGTAAGCCCCTAAATGAAGCTTGATATATATTAGGGTTGTTCATATTGTAAGCCCCAAAATGAAGCTTGATATATACCAGGATTGTTAGTTTTGTAAGCCCCTAAATGAAGCTTGATATATATCAGGGTTGTTCATATTGTAAGCCCCAAAATGAAGCTTGATATATACCAGGATTGTTAGTTTTGTAAGCCCCTAAATGAAGCTTGATATATATCAGGGTTGTTCATATTGTAAGCCCCAAAATGAAGCTTGATATATACCAGGATTGTTAGTTTTGTAAGCCCCTAAATGAAGCTTGATATATACCAGGATTGTTAGTTTTGTAAGCCCCAAAATGAAGCTTGATATATACCAGGATTGTTAGTTTTGTAAGCCCCTAAATGAAGCTTGATATATATCAGGGTTGTTCATATTGTAAGCCCCAAAATGAAGCTTGATATATACCAGGATTGTTAGTTTTGTAAGCCCCTAAATGAAGCTTGATATATATCAGGGTTGTTCATATTGTAAGCCCCAAAATGAAGCTTGATATATACCAGGATTGTTAGTTTTGTAAGCCCCTAAATGAAGCTTGATATATATCAGGGTTGTTCATATTGTAAGCCCCAAAATGAAGCTTGATATATACCAGGATTGTTAGTTTTGTAAGCCCCTAAATGAAGCTTGATATATACCAGGATTGTTAGTTTTGTAAGCCCCAAAATGAAGCTTGATATATACCAGGATTGTTAGTTTTGTAAGCCCCTAAATGAAGCTTGATATATATCAGGGTTGTTCATATTGTAAGCCCCAAAATGAAGCTTGATATATACCAGGATTGTTAGTTTTGTAAGCCCCTAAATGAAGCTTGATATATATCAGGGTTGTTCATATTGTAAGCCCCAAAATGAAGCTTGATATATACCAGGATTGTTAGTTTTGTAAGCCCCTAAATGAAGCTTGATATATATCAGGGTTGTTCATATTGTAAGCCCCAAAATGAAGCTTGATATATACCAGGATTGTTAGTTTTGTAAGCCCCTAAATGAAGCTTGATATATACCAGGATTGTTAGTTTTGTAAGCCCCAAAATGAAGCTTGATATATACCAGGATTGTTAGTTTTGTAAGCCCCTAAATGAAGCTTGATATATACCAGGATTGTTAGTTTTGTAAGCCCCTAAATGAAGCTTGATATATACCAGGATTGTTAGTTTTGTAAGCCCCTAAATGAAGCTTGATATATACCAGGATTGTTAGTTTTGTAAGCCCCAAAATGAAGCTTGATATATACCAGGATTGTTAGTTTTGTAAGCCCCTAAATGAAGCTTGATATATATCAGGGTTGTTAGTTTTGTAAGCCCCTAAATGAAGCTTGATATATACCAGGATTGTTAGTTTTGTAAGCCCCTAAATGAAGCTTGATATATATCAGGGTTGTTAGTTTTGTAAGCCCCTAAATGAAGCTTGATATATATCAGGGTTGTTCATATTGTAAGCCCCAAAATGAAGCTTGATATATACCAGGATTGTTAGTTTTGTAAGCCCCTAAATGAAGCTTGATATATACCAGGATTGTTAGTTTTGTAAGCCCCAAAATGAAGCTTGATATATACCAGGATTGTTAGTTTTGTAAGCCCCTAAATGAAGCTTGATATATATCAGGGTTGTTCATATTGTAAGCCCCAAAATGAAGCTTGATATATACCAGGATTGTTATTTTTGTAAGCCCCTAAATGAAGCTTGATATATATCAGGGTTGTTCATATTGTAAGCCCCAAAATGAAGCTTGATATATACCAGGATTGTTAGTTTTGTAAGCCCCTAAATGAAGCTTGATATATATCAGGGTTGTTCATATTGTAAGCCCCAAAATGAAGCTTGATATATACCAGGATTGTTAGTTTTGTAAGCCCCTAAATGAAGCTTGATATATACCAGGATTGTTAGTTTTGTAAGCCCCAAAATGAAGCTTGATATATACCAGGATTGTTAGTTTTGTAAGCCCCTAAATGAAGCTTGATATATATCAGGGTTGTTCATATTGTAAGCCCCAAAATGAAGCTTGATATATACCAGGATTGTTAGTTTTGTAAGCCCCTAAATGAAGCTTGATATATATCAGGGTTGTTCATATTGTAAGCCCCAAAATGAAGCTTGATATATACCAGGATTGTTAGTTTTGTAAGCCCCTAAATGAAGCTTGATATATATCAGGGTTGTTCATATTGTAAGCCCCAAAATGAAGCTTGATATATACCAGGATTGTTAGTTTTGTAAGCCCCTAAATGAAGCTTGATATATACCAGGATTGTTAGTTTTGTAAGCCCCAAAATGAAGCTTGATATATACCAGGATTGTTAGTTTTGTAAGCCCCTAAATGAAGCTTGATATATATCAGGGTTGTTCATATTGTAAGCCCCAAAATGAAGCTTGATATATACCAGGATTGTTAGTTTTGTAAGCCCCTAAATGAAGCTTGATATATATCAGGGTTGTTCATATTGTAAGCCCCAAAATGAAGCTTGATATATACCAGGATTGTTAGTTTTGTAAGCCCCTAAATGAAGCTTGATATATATCAGGGTTGTTCATATTGTAAGCCCCAAAATGAAGCTTGATATATACCAGGATTGTTAGTTTTGTAAGCCCCTAAATGAAGCTTGATATATACCAGGATTGTTAGTTTTGTAAGCCCCAAAATGAAGCTTGATATATACCAGGATTGTTAGTTTTGTAAGCCCCTAAATGAAGCTTGATATATATTAGGGTTGTTCATATTGTAAGCCCCAAAATGAAGCTTGATATATACCAGGATTGTTAGTTTTGTAAGCCCCTAAATGAAGCTTGATATATACGAGGATTGTTAGTTTTGTAAGCCCCTAAATGAAGCTTGATATATATCAGGGTTGTTCATATTGTAAGCCCCAAAATGAAGCTTGATATATACCAGGATTGTTAGTTTTGTAAGCCCCTAAATGAAGCTTGATATATACCAGGATTGTTAGTTTTGTAAGCCCCTAAATGAAGCTTGATATATACCAGGATTGTTAGTTTTGTAAGCCCCTAAATGAAGCTTGATATATACCAGGATTGTTAGTTTTGTAAGCCCCAAAATGAAGCTTGATATATACCAGGATTGTTAGTTTTGTAAGCCCCTAAATGAAGCTTGATATATATCAGGGTTGTTAGTTTTGTAAGCCCCTAAATGAAGCTTGATATATACCAGGATTGTTAGTTTTGTAAGCCCCTAAATGAAGCTTGATATATATCAGGGTTGTTAGTTTTGTAAGCCCCTAAATGAAGCTTGATATATACCAGGATTGTTAGTTTTGTAAGCCCCTAAATGAAGCTTGATATAAACCAGGGTTGTTAGTATTATAAGCCCCAAAATTGGGGCTCACTGTATACCAGGGATGTTAGTTTTGTAAGCCCCGAAATTGGGGCTCTCTATATACCAGGGTTGTTAGTTTTGTAAGCCCCAAAATTGGGGCTCTCTATATACCAGGGTTGTTAGTTATGTAAGCCCCTAAATGAAGCTCAATATATAATAGGGTTGTTAGTTATGTAAGCCCCTAAATGAAGCTTTATACATACCAGGGTTTTATACTACATTAGGGTGTCTGTCCAGTGGAAGACAGGAGCTTATCAGATTAACACTCCTTAGTCTTAACCTTCAAGCTATCCTTTTAAGAGACAGTATACATATATATGTGATTGGTACTTTAAATGGCTGTGTCCTCACAAGAAATTCTTTTCCTGATATGATTTTCCTTGGGAGTTATTCCCCTTTGATGAATTCATATAATATAGCATGGTTTGATCTACACAATAAAGTTTTCATTTAAATCCTGTTTCCTTTAGTGCCAGACAAGGTTGAACGTCTGCGTGCGACCAGTCGTGGTGTTGTTTATATCAAGTTATCCTGGGAGGAACCAAAACGTCCAAATGGCAAAATTATTGGCTATGATGTCTCGTATGAAGAAAGTAAGTCTTTTTGGAATTGAATTCAAGATAAGAGAAAATGGTGATTAATCTGGAGGTTTTGGTTTAATATTCTCATAAAAAAAATACCCAACAAATTGAGGACATTAAAACGTCTTAAACAATGTCTGATATAGTTCTGTATTTTACATTGTGTTTGTTGTAAATTTGTCATATTTCAGTACATGGACTAATGATTGGAGAAACCATGACATCAAACGATACTATCCTGGAGATGAATGGTGGATTTATGACACGAATCAATGGACTGAATGAGAATACATCATACAGAATCCATGTGCGGGCAAGAACAGCCCCAGGACTTGGGGACGACATGTTCATTGATGCAATGACAGCAATTCCTGGTGGTGAGTGTTTATAGAGAAGGGGAGGTAACTCCTGCTTGCTGAATGAACATGAAAGGATCCATTTAATGGTTGACAGAAGATTTGTTTCTTAAATTACCTAACATGCATATTGTTCCATTTTGATGATGAAAGCTTTTTGTGTTTATATACATTAACTATGACAAATTATGGATTTCAATTTCAGACCCAGCTGTGCCCCAGATTGACAAAGTCACACCACATTTCGATTCCATTAATGTGTCCTGGACTATCAATAAAAACCATGATCGTGCTGGCTACAACCATTACGTGGAATACAGACGTCAAGGAAACCACAAATGGAGTGAAATGCCGGGAGAGCTGATGAAGTCGTGGCAGTTGGTGCCTAACTTGACTTCTGGTGTCACTTACGAAGTCCAAGTCGTGGCAACCAGTGGACAGGAAATAAAACGCAGTAGTGTCCGCACTGTTGTCACACTTGGGGCTCAAGGTCAGTAGTCAGGGTCAAAGGACACAGCGAGACAAATATATATTATCTACCATCAGTAGATTTTGGACTGTTTAGATCACCTTTCATCCATCTGCAAATTATTTTTCAATAAATCTATAAAGGTGATGGGTGTTTCCTATGATCAGTATTTAATTTCCGGTCTGAACATGGAAACTAGATGTCTTATATATGAGGCTTGCTAGACTGTTATTTGATACATTTTACTATTTCAGTCCATGACTGAATGACACTAGGACACATATCAAACACAGCGATATCAAGTTTTTATCGTGAGATGTGTTTGCTACTGACATAAGACGTTACAATCAATAATTACAAGCAGGAAGAAGTAAAAAAATCAAATGATGTTTGGCACCAAGATTACTTTGGGATCTTGTTTAACATACATAAAGTGAATGATCCCATGACTGTTTGTTGTAATTACAATAACCTTTGACCATTTGTTGCAATTACACTGACCCTTGACCTTTTTTTGTGATTACAGTGACCCTTGACCTTTTTTGTGATTACAATGACCCTTGAGTGTTTGTTGTAATTACACTGACCTTGACCTTTTTTGTGATTACAGTGACCCTTGACCTTTTTTGTGATTATAATGACCCTTGAGTGTTTGTTGTAATTACAATGGCCCTTGACCTTTAGTTGTAATTAGTGACCCTTGACTTTTGTTGTGATTACTGTGACCCTTGACCTTTTTTGTAATTACAATGGCCCTTGACCTTTTGTTGTAATTAGTGACCCTTGACCTTTTGTTGTGATTACAGTGGCCCAAACCCAGGAGGTTTATGAGAGTCTGTGGTTTATCATCATGCTGGTGGCCTTAGCCCTCCTCATTATCATCTTCATCATCGTGTGCCTTGTAAAGCGAAGTAGGGGAGACAAATACCATGGTACGTAAAAAAAACACACTTTTATGTAAACAACGATATAATATGTTATATAATCCACACTTGTTTAACACATATCATTTTCTATGTGACATTTTGTAACAGATTTCTTTGTCCTTTGTCAACAGTACAAGAAAATGAAAGACTTAAAGGAATTCCTCCAGAAGATAAGAAATCTGCACATGTTAATGATTTTAATGAAAAGTAAGTATAACTTTTTACTCCCAATCCCCTGTGTTTTACTCTGTTAATCCATTAGTGTGTTGCTCACCATAGACAGAATACTAGGGTATTAAGACTGGTTGTCTCTCGTGTACTGGTTATATATATATACATGTATATTAACAAAAGCTTATATATTCTGTTGTGGTGAATTTTTCACATGCTGTAGACATTATAATGCTTCTGAAGAGATCATCTGCTCTTTACTTGTAGTACTGCTGTAGTTTTTAGAATCATTTGCCTAGGTGTATGCTCCAGCCAGGGGGCAATGGGAGGGACTAGGGACATGTCATGGCAATTGGTACTTGTAGTAACAGGGTTTGGGGCATGTCACTGGTAACCATAGTAACAGGGTTTGGGGCTTGTCACTGGTAACCATAGTAACAGGGTTTGGGGCTGGTCACTGGTAACCATAGTAACAGGGATTGGGGCTTGTCACTGGTAACCATAGTAACAGGGTTTGGGGCTTGTCACTGGTAACTATAGTAACTGGGTTTGGGACTTGTCACTGGTAACCATAGTAACAGTGTTCGGGGCTTGTCACTGGTAACCATAGTGACTAAGAAGAATGGTTCTCTTGAGTGATAGACACAGTGCTTGTCCCTTCACTATTTTTAATCCTATCAATTTATTACTTTTTATTCTTACAACTTTCTTGTCATCAGATCATTGTATTTGATAATACATTTGAATAATTTGTAATGCACTTGATACGTTGTAAAGCTTTGGGTAATTTATATAAGGTTCATTCAGTTTGGATGGTTTGTGATACAGTAGTTACATCATAAAACAGCAGTAAATTTGTTTCATTAGGGTAATTACAAAACACAATTTTTCTGTTTCCACTTTTCAGTGAAAAAAGTTCTTCAGCATTTTTGAATTATCCTGCATTTTTCTTCAGTGTTGTTATAAAGTTATTTTTTCCAATCTACTTTTTTTTTTTTTTTAGATGTTTATTTTATGTTCCCCCCTGTAAATGCTCCCAATATGATATTACCAATCACTTCAGGATGTTTGCTCTGCGCGTATGTTGTAGATTTTACAGCATTTGCATATTTGATCATAGCTCATTATCACTTGATAACATTTTATGCACTGAATATTACACTTAATTTTGTGCTTACTTTTTATGTTAAAATTCCTGGTTTAGATGTCAAATTTCAACATGATAAGTTTTAGTTTTCTGCAAATTTTTTTCATATACTGTTGTAGTGATTCAATGAAAAAAAAAACTTGAATTTTATTATAAAGGAATTGTGCTCCCTAAAAAGTATATAAAAAACAGTCAGCTCTGTGGTATGCTAGAGTATGTTGATACCAGCATGATAGAATTAAGACAATGCTTTTGTAGTTAAGTCATAATTTTTATATGTATAATATAGAGTGCAATTTCATGAATGTTTTTTGTGTCCATGTAGTGGTAGCTGAAAGCTGACTGAAAAAATATTTCATGATTTGAGTCTGAAAAAATGTTTCATGGTTTTGAGTCTGTAAAAGTTGTGAATATAATGTGTCCTTGTAAATATACATTTGTGCGTCTGATTGAGAGCGAATTTGCCACCAATCAAGAGCAGGCACATCATGTCTGCATGTACAGGTCAATACCTGATAGCTGACAGATTGTGTTTTACCATGTAAATGGTTATTGCAGAAAATATGCACATAACATAGAAATTTTGATATCAGTTTTTTCATATTTTCTGTGTCTACCTTTTCACACTTGCTGATCAGGAATCTAATTTAAAATCGTGGTGGCTGCTGTATTCTATTAGTATCAAAGTAATGATGAGAATGTCTCATAGAAACCAACTCTTTCTAGTTATTTAAGTACATACATACGTTCTGTTTCGAACTCTTCCACTTTTTCCTTGTTGTTAGTAAGTGATATTGGATTGTTTACAAAACAAAACTAAAAAAATTGAATTTGGATATCCTTGAATGGTCCAAGCTGGCATAGGGCAAGGTTGCCTTCCTTTTGGTATAATTTTGATTGTAAGGTCACTCTTAGAGGTAATCTTTATTGGTCATATATTTTCAGGTGTATGAAATAATTATCCTGGTTTTTTTTTTCTCTATTTTTCCATATGAAAATTTTTTATTTTTTTATTTAAATGTCATCCTCATGGAATGTCTGTTATTTTGTTTCTACCCCGCCAACCTTTACCAGAGTTATGTTGCTAAAATCCAACAGAAGACAATTTTGGTATTTATGATTTACATTGATTGATTTTTGCCTAACTTTGATTTCTTGCCTTTTAAGGCTAGCTACCTGGGATTATGATGAGCTGTAAGAGTCGGTACCAGGTGTCATCATTTTGTTCTTTTCCTGATTTCCGTGTGTAAACCAACAGTCCTCGCTTATTGCTTTGTCAAATTCCGTTACATTTTAGTTATTGAATTATTTTCAACTGCAAGTTCAAGGTCAAACATTTAAATATATATTAAAGTGATATCTCTTCCTAAAAAGTCTGACATGTGCTAGATTCATTGAAGCTTTAGCAACAATTATTTGACCTTGAGAAACATTTGTTGACCCTTAGAAACATCTGTTTGACCTTGAGAAACATTTGTTAATCTTGAGAAACATTTGTTTGATCTTGAGAAACATATGTTTGACCTTGATGAACATTTGTTTGACCTTCATGAACATTTGTTTGACCTTGAGAAACATTTGTTTGATCATACATATGTTTGACCTTGATAAACATTTGTTTGACCTTGAGAAACATTTGTTTGACCTTGCAGTTTTATTGTCATATTTTTGTCAGTTGCATGCATGTTGATATTATTTATTTTGTTCTGTTTATATTGACTGATTCAACACTTGTTTTTTAATAGTTAACTATTTCTAATTACAAAAATTTTAATTTTTAGATTTATAATGCTAATATATATTAATGTTTCCATTGATTATGAAGTTACCTTTATGCAATTGCTGCAGTGACACAAAAGAGCTTGCCAAATAACAATAAGTTTCCACTGATTGAGATTCGCATTTTCCCTAAAAGTGTTGATTATTATTTTAGGTACAAACAAAAGCATGGTGGTACCTGTATTCACTATCCTTGTCATGTGGGCTTGTTTTATGTGCTTTGTCATCAGTTTTCATAATCACCCATCTGACCGTAATCAAAAAGGAAAACAGGATTAATTTTAAAAACTAAAAGAACGAAATGTTCTCCTTGTTAGTAATGTAGATCAATGTGAATTAAGTATGTAGAAATTCATAATTTGACCAGAGACTATAAAAATCAACAAAAGAATTCAAGTTTAAAACAAAATATTTTTTTCAAAAACCCACTCAATCTAAATTTAAAAGAAAAATTTGAAAAGTTAACTATCATCTGCCTAACCATATGTGTTTTCCCCAAGCACACCCTCAGTAAGGGCCAACAAAATGGATAAATATGTTGATGGGCTATTTCACAGTTATTGTAAGATAAATACATATATATATATATATAGAGATATTTCATAGATATATAGATATTTCATAGATATATAGATATTTCTGACTATATTTTTGATGATTTTTTTTATGGATTTTACGACCATCAGTATGGCCTTTCAGCTTTTCAGTGCCAGAGTATTTGAAACTGTAAAGAATTGGTGCTATATGTATTAAGATACCTCAAAGTTAAAATATAAAAAAATATGTTTTTAATAATTAAAAGATAGAAGCTATTGGAGATGAAGTGTTGTATTGTTGTTTGTAAGGACTGTGTTTTTTGTTGTGGTGTTTGAGATATATGTATATATTTAATCACTTTTTGTTAAAAACGTATCAAGGCTTTTTTTTCCATGTTTATTTCTTTGTTTAGTTAATGCTTTTATCAGGAAATAGAACAAAATGTCAACTCTCCTCAGATAAAATATTTATTTTGAATTTATGACATTTTGACCTAATACTGTCCTGTTTTTACTGTTATATATAAGGGACTGAGGTGTGACTATAAAAGTTGGGTCTATATTCTCCTCCAGAAAACCATGTATTGCTTGCTTGCTATCTGCTTACAGATGAATTTCAGTTGATACAGACAAAAATATAATAGTACAATTTATGTTTGTGAAATTTATTTGAAATTTTCATAATATATTTGTAGTGTTGAAATGTCTAGAAATGGTCTCTGTTTAAAGTATGTAAATGATAAATGATGCCTGTATCTCCACTAAAATACTTACAGAAATATACTTGGTAAAATACAAACACGTCGGTTGAATTTTTTAAAATTTCAATATCAAAAGTTTTGTGTTTAACATACTAATTAACAATCTTTTTGTGGTCAACTAAATTATAATTCCAGAAATCTCCAGTTCATGTGTCCAGTAGTTGATAGGGTCCATGTTGCCTTTTTATCACACCCGTATTACAAATTGTTGTATTAGAATGACAAGTCACTGGATCACTATTCGTTAATTTCATATCAAACAATTTGAATTGTGACCTTTATTATCTGTAACAATGGTATTCATTGTTGTGTTACAGCGGTGAGAAGCAGCCTCTAGCCGGAGGTTCAGATCCTGATCTGGAGAAAGCTTGCCTTGACAGTGAACAAGACAGTTTAGAGGAATATGGTGATGTGGACCCAAGTCGTTTTAATGAGGATGGGTCGTTCATAGGACAATATGGAGCACAGAATGTATCTACAGCAGACGAAACGCAACCTTCTGCCATGCATACTTTCGTCTGATTGGTTCAGACTTGTGTAATAGCAACAAGGCCTAACAGCCAAACTGTTGTGTTGCTATAGCAACAAGGTGAAGAAGGTACTGTGTTTTCCTATAGCAACTTGGCCAAGCATTCCAGTGAAGATGATTTCAAATTTAGTTTTTGCAGAAACAAGAACTCATTGTTGAAAAAGCTGATGTGTTCACTTACAACAGTCTGGAAAAATTGATAGTGAGTCTAGTCAGTGCCGTGAGAAATATGAATTCCTGGTCAGGCATAGCTCTTCAGAATATTACATAACTGCTTGTGATATGAATTCTTGCGTGCAATTTTTTCATTCATCACACGATTCCTCGTACCTTCAGATACACGTATCATTTCACAGTATGTCCTGTTCAGCCAAAGTCTCCATGTGTCAGCACCATTGTGCTAACAGACAAAGCCTCGTAACACACATTAAAAATACAAGTCACAGAGTAATTGAGGTGAACTTCAAATAAGTGTTGTCTTGTGGAAAATTCTCGGAAAAAAGTCCCTGGATTGATGTCTTTGCTTACAAAATATTTATGCATAAATGTTCATGTATTTGGGCGATGAAGCAAAATAAGTCGATTTGCAGCAAGATGTGTGTCTGTATCAACTCCTGAATCTACAATTTCATGATATGTGTAGAAATGTTACATTTTCTATGACTGTGAATTTAATTTAATTTCTTGTATTTATTATTGATTAATGTTTGTAAGTATATCAAATCTATTGACATGGAGTGGATGTGTCCACCGTACCGTGGTGAAATTGCCAGTCTGCTTTAAATGCCTTTACCACTGTCCTTTTCTAGTGCAATATATATATATACAGACTATTTAAAATCTACTCAAACTTATGGTAGTTGTGGAATAGAGCGATCCACAATAGTGGATAATAGGGATTCACAAGTCAAAGGTTCATAAGATGTGGATTATATTCTGATCCACATGTCGTGGATTATAGTGATCCAGAAGTGATTATAGTGATCCACCAGTCATGGATAATATAGTGATCCACCCTTTGTGGATTATGTATTGATCCACAGGTAGTGGATTATGTATTGATCCACAGGTAGTGGATTAAGTATCAGATAAATGTTAGCTTGTCCATATGTTAGTATTTATGAAGCCATGATAACTGTGCTTTATATAGTTGATGTGTATGTGTGAGAGAGATATTATCTGACATTGTTACCAAAGAGTAAACTGCTGCTAATTACATACCTTTCATTCCTAAGTTTCCTGTAATTTTTTGGGTGTTTAATGTTAGATAATACTGTATCTTTTAATAAGTCCAATAGGGGAGGGGGCAGGGGGGCAACACATTGACCCTAAAGTCAGGCTTATTCAGGCAAATGGATTATCACATGGAAACATTAGTTGATCATTTTTCTATGTAGCAATATATATGGGTGGGCTTATTACCAGGCATGGGCTTATTACAAGGCAGGGGTTTGTTGCCAGATAAACATGGTAGGTTGAGACATATTCATTATGTTTAATACCATCAACCATTGTTACCATGGTAACCTCAAACCTAATACTGTTGCTTCCTATAAATGAGAACAAACCTATTTAGTAGGGTACTTCATAATTCCAATTACTCGATGGCTACAATAAAAATGTACATGAACAGGAAATAGAATTAGGAGAACAACTTGTGAAAATATGGTGAGTGATAGAATTTTTATGATATGGCTGACTCCACGGCACATAAGCATTTGAGTAATGATACAATTTCAGGAAATACAAAAAATAAATATGGAGGCTTGAAGATTATGATGTGTTAGAATATTATAGTGGAAGTGTTAAATACTTGGAAGCAATATGGTGTATATCTAGTCGTAATATTAATAAACCCAAATCGTCTTGAGGCTCGTCCTAATGTGTTAGTCATGTACCATGCCTGGAGCCACAGTCCACATAACACATTAATTACATGTTCTAGATCAATTTATATCTGATGTTCATTGTCAGATTTAAAACTTGACAAACAGAAAGTTGATGTATATTATACAATGTGATATCTGTATATGCTCCAAAACCTCATTCCATTCCCACAATTATACCGGCTGACGCAGCAATCACCAGGGACCAAACATTTTCCTGTGTCCCCACCGATACAGGTATATTGTATACATACCCAGGCTGTATACTCTGTACACTGGTCGTACAAAGTGTAAACATTGCTTCCACTTAGTACAAATTTAATGTTACATAAAAGTCTGCAGCTTTTTTTGTGATAAACCCAGATGCTGTACTGTAGATGGCAAGAAGAAAAAACCAAATACATTATTGATACACAAGAGTTTAGATGAAACTTTTTTAATTTACTTTTCATAGTTGCATTACTAACTAGCCAGGAATTGTTAATATCACACACAAAAAATGTGTTTTACTTCAGAAAGCATTACATTAATACAGCAAACAATAGCCCAAATTTTATCCTAAGGTGACCATTTAATTACAAAGTGAGAGTTGTGTTGAAATGTTGAGATGTAAACTAATTTTGCTATTTAAAGGAAATTACAATTTCTGCATTGTAATCTTAGTTCCTGTTGTGCAGTAGAGAATGTTAGGTATGACACCACTAGATGTTCAACATACATACAATTAAAGCTGTAAGCCATCCATGCTTTTTTATTCTAGTCAGTTGACAGCTACAGTATTAAGTGTTTTTTGAGTTTTTTTATTCTGTACAACATAAGGGAAAAGCCCACAAATATGGGATAAAGTGTTTTGTTGTATAATGTTTGTATGGTAAAAATTACCTGTTTTAATAACTCTCTCCATTTCGTATATACTCTGCTGTACAAAGTCTTACGTATACAAATATGTTAATCGGTGTAAATATAAGATATACAGTGTGCTCTGATATTTTTATATATGTGGTCTGAGTGATTAGGAAGCTTGGGTGATATTCAGTTTGTTCCATTCTCTCTACAAGTGTATGTTTGATGTTACTGCAGTAAAATTCAAGATCTGTGTCAGGGAAAAGCTTTCAAATAACACAATGCATAAAAAGCATTATCATCGTGAATTTATCCCCCAAAGTCTTAAACATGTAGACTTTTGTTATTTATGTAGAGAAAGACTTAACATACACCCCCACAGAAAATACTTTATGTATCATTATTGTACTTCAGTCTAAGAAAGATGTAGGACATCGCCAAAACATTTTAAAAATGAGAAAGAATTTTCAATTTTCCTTTTTAATGAAATCCATATGAAATCATCAGCAATTTTTCTGAATTTCATTTAAAGAAGCATAAATGAAGTTGAAGAAGGAATAGGATTGGAGAATTTGAGATCTTAAACACCCAGCTGTTGGTCAACAATGTGACTTAGCAATGTAGAATATAGAAAATGCATTTATAAAACACACCATACCAGTCGACAAATGTGTACTACAAATCTATTGCATATATTGTCATTGTGATTATTTTGTGCAATATTTATTTTTACTGCGAAGAAGGAAAACTTTGTGAAAATGAACTTGTAAAGTGCTATGATTATGTTTATGAATGAATGATTTTGCATGAATTGTTTATTTCAACACATGCAAATTTTGCTATTTGGTGTCAAAATTTTAATCATAATTTTAACCCTGTCATATTTTTGCAATTGAAGAGCTGGAATTAAAAATGCATAATGTAAAGCTTTATCATTTAACATTTGCCAGTTTAATCCCTGTTAGGCAAAAATAGCAAAATTTGACATTGACTAGAAAAATACAGAAAAACCCATGTCTGTAACAGTAAAATGGGAGGAAAAAGGAAGGAAAAAAAACTTGATTTCTCTATCTTAAGTCTTCTGAGGTATACCTGGTATTTGTCCTCAAATTCGCTTTCATCGTACGTAGGATAATATTAGTCGCTCTGATATAATCCAATCATATTCCATGTCATCCTTTTTTATCTGCTCGAAACATTATTATTTATTCCACTAATATGCAGTGTACAGATCATACTTATCTTAAAGGTAATGAAATACTGTATAACTTACTCAAATCATCAACTGTTTACATGGAAAATGAAAAGATCTCTACTTCAGTATACCATTTGTTCCTGTTTACTGTCATTCCGTTTCCATGAGAAAGCAGCAGAAATTTTGAAAGTTTTCCGTAGATATCCCCAATCTCCTAAAATCACTTCATATTTGTTGAAGTACGTTTATTGATAACTTAATATAGAACATTATAAGATATTATTTATTTGTTGATGTCCAAAACAATGAAACCCAAAATATTTGATCAATAAAGTCTCACCATTACAGTGAGGCAAGATATTGTAGACCAGTGTTGATTTCTAAACATTACACAGATATCAATTTTGAGTAAAATTATATTTTCTGTCAGAAAGCTATTATAATTCTGGTCAATCAAACATATCACTAGCAGTTAAGTCCAGTTCTGCTGGTCATTCCCACAAGACCAGTGTTGGTATTTGTAACCTATAGATTTTTTTTTAAATGGATTGCACCTTTGCTTATAAACATTAAACATCTGAACTTGCATGTGGATTTCAATCTCTTCTAAAACATTTTATTTGACATCTTGTCTGAGGTAGCTTAAATGTAGCATAAAACATATTGCACCCTAATAAGGATAACTTGTGTCACATGATCAACTTAAGTTGTAGAAAAACTGAATTCTCATACTGGTGTTATTTTTTGTGTGTAAGAACACTACATACCTAACACATAGCAGGTCATGTGACTTATTAAGGCTTCTCTGTAGAACAGGCCAGGTCATGTGACTTTAAAAGGGTCTTTCTGTTGCACAAGGGCAGGTAACTTTCAGCTTGTCCCTTGGTTGTAACTTGTATATATATATATGTTTGTTGGCACCATTAGGAGTTCCATTGAGGGATGATTGTCAAGCATATATCTGACAAGAACACTGTAATATTAAGGAAATTTGTGTTTTTTTTGTGATTCAGTAAATAACTGCCACTCATATCTTTAAATATCAGTCTCTGTCCTGTTGACAACTATTTGTATTCATTTGTCATGTCTGTTTACATTGTAAAATAAAGTTACAAAGAAAATTGTTTTTTCTGTTTTTCTTCATATGAATATCAAATTTTAATACATAGCATCCGTCAGAGTGGAGTTTCCCTGTATTGTGAAGCAGACAGTTCTGGTATGACCTTATGATACAATATCATCTCTTCATAATTAATTGAATTTGGCTGAAGGTTATGGATAAAAACTTCAAAATTTTATGATTATCACAAAGTGATGATTCAGAGATCATAATGATGATCTCTGATTGAGGGATGTCAACAGATTACACATGGCCAGGCTAATCATCTACATACATTCCATCCTTGTTGTACAAAATTTGATTTTCATAATTTATTGTATAAAAAAAATACAAATATGGAAATGGTAATGATGATTTGAAATGTCCAGAGGGAAAACGAGTTTCAAATAAACTTTAAAAGACTGAGGAAGAAAGTGTCTGGACGAGATGGAGAAAAAAACAACATATTTTTAAGAAAAAAGCAATACCTCAGAATTGTGAAATCACAAAAACAAAGAAAAGAAAACCACATTATGTAATGGTTATGAAATTTACGTGATATTGGTGAAAAAGAACAATATCTTTATGGTAAATCAGAGTGCTTAAAAAAATCAAAGGGCAATGACTCCTTCAAAAATTGCTGACTGACTACTGTGTAGGAAACGTCAAAATTATGAAACCTACAAAGTTTTAAAGAAATGAATTGAATACTGACAAGGACAATGTTAAAAATCAGAAAAAAACAAGGGGCAGTAACTCTTCTAAATGCATTTGAAATCCATTGCTGTTTAGGAAAACACATCTTGATGTCATATAGCCCACCAAGTTTGAAAATAATAGTTAAAAACTGTGGGAGATCTCTGGACAACGAAAAGTTAATGATGGACGGATAGACAAGAAACACTACACCACAATCCTGACAGTCAAATTGTAAGACAGATGTACAATAAATCAATTTTCAATAAATAAAGTTTTATTGAAAACAAAATTATCACAAATACAAATTAAAGATTCATTATCACTCCAACAGTAGATCTGTCAGGAGACCTATCTTACACACACATGCATTTACATTTTGTTCTTTTATAACCACCCACTTCCTCACTCTCAACAAGATCACAACTATCAGTCAGTTTCTTGCTATATATAAGAGTAAATCAATTTGATTGAAAACAGAAAAAACAAATTTCAAAATCATATTTTCAGTAAATAGTACAATACTACCTGAGTTGTTGAATATACCAGTCACAGTTTCAGCCAAAAGAATGGGTTCATTTGACATTGAAAACATTTCATCGGAAGTTTCTTTTAATTTTGAACTGAAGAGTAATAATTGTGACTACTACAAGTAGACCATGTCCAGAGTGAAACCAACTAAGGAAGTGTTATGCCCCAAATATTACTTGATTCATGTTACTATGCCCCATGTCACTATCCCCCACATCACTATGCCCCATGTCACTGTCCCCCATGTCACTATGCCCCATGTCAGTCCCCCATGTCACTATGCTCCATGTCACTGTCCTCCTTGTCACTATGCCCCATGTCACTATGCCCCTTGTCACTGTCCCCCTTGTCACTATGCCCCATGTCACTGTCCCCCTTGTTTATACCCCATGTCACTGTCCCCCTTGTCACTATGCCCCATGTCACTGTCCCCCTTGTCACTATGCCCCATGTCACTGTCCCCAATGTCACTATGCCCCATGTCACTGTCCCCCTTGTCACTATGCTCCATGTCACTGTCCCCATGTCACTATGCCCCTTGTCACTGTCCCCATGTCACTGCCCCATGTCACTGTCCCCCTTGTCACTATGCCCCATGTCACTGTCCCCCACATCACTATGCCCCATGTCACTGTCCCCCACATCACTATGCCCCTTGTCACTGTCCCCCTTGTCACTATGCCCCATGTCACTGTCCCCCACATCACTATGCCCCATGTCACTGTCCCCCACATCACTATGCCCCATGTCACTGTCCCCCATGTCACTATGCCCCATGTCACTGTCCCCCATGTCACTATGCCCCATGTCACTGTCCACCTATGTCACTAATCCCCAAGTCACTATGCCCCATGTCACTGTCCCCCTTGTCACTATGCCCCATGTCATTGTCCCCCTTGTCACTATGCCCCATGTCACTGTCCCCCATGTCACTATGCCCCATGTCACTATGCCCCTTGTCACTGTCCCCCTTGTCACTATGCCCCATGTCACTGTCCCCCTTGTTTATACCCCATGTCACTGTCCCCCTTGTCACTATGCCCCATGTCACTGTCCCCCATGTCACTATGCCCCATGTCACTATGCCCCATGTCACTTTGCTGTTGTAGTTTACCCACTTACACAATATTCTACCATCTATAACTGTAATGCACTATTAACTATCATCCTTCTTTGTAACACTTAAAGTTGTATCAAGCTCAAATTCTATCAGTTCACAGACATCAAGTTGGCACTCCATCAGTTCACAAACAGGTTCTTATACAGCAGCAACACTGTGACACTTTGTGAACAGAAATCTGTTGTCTGTTATACACAGCGAGTGTAAAACTCCTCACCAATTTCTGTCCAATGGATGGGATGCAGCGTAACCATGGTTCTTGAATATTGTGTCAGCTATGCTTTCTAGGGTGTCATCATTGTTCTCAAATGTTTCTGAAAGGGAGAGTCATGAAAATATGTATTTTTTTTTGTGTGCATATGTATTTCCCTTTTTTTCATTCAATATTACTATCTTACAATTTTTAATCATATTAAAACACTGTTAATAAGGCTTTGTTTATTTCATGAACCAGAATACTTCATCTGATAGGGAAAGAGACCATATCAATGTAACCAAGTACAATTGTTAAATTTGGCAGTTACCAAGTATGATTGTTAAATTTTGGAAGTTACCAAGTACGATTGTTAAATTTTGGAAGTTACCAAGTACAATTGTTAAATTTTGGAAGTTACCAAGTACGATTGTTAAATTTTGGAAGTTACCATGTACAATTGTTAAATTTGGCAGTTATCAAGTACACGTGAGCATGAAGTAAGGAGGAAAAGCTGATTAAACCTGTTTACTCTTAATTGTTTGGTGATAATATTGTATTCCTATATACAGATGTGGAAACTTCATATATAGCTTAAAATGTATTAATTAACGACTTTCTTTTTTGTCAAATTATTTATCTGATGATAATACAAAATTCTTCTTATCTTTCAATGTCAATTTCTATGACTACAATTCACCAACCTCCAGATAATATGTTCCAATATGCTTTGTTTATAGTTGTAAGGTGGTCAAAAATAAAAACAAACCATATAAACCAATTAACGCTTTCATCTTTTAATTATACAAAAAATATGTCATATTTTAGCTCATTGTCTTAAGTTCCTACGACAGATATCATATGTAAAGTTATAACACTATCAATCAAGAGAACTCCTTGTATAATTACCTGCTCTCAAATCTTTCAGATTTTGCTCAATTCTTTCTCTGGCTTCATAGCAGAAAGCCTTGGTCAGCATCACCTAAACAAAAACAATTCATAACGCTTGAGGAAGAGGAATGGATCAGTCATACAAGTGAAACTCTCAAAAGGTGAACCAACCAAAGGTGAACCAACCAAAGGTGAACCAACCAAAGGTGAACCAACCAAAGGTGTGAACCAACCAAAGGTGAACCAACAAAAGGTGAACCAACCAAAGGTGAACCAACCAAAGGTGTGAACCAACCAAAGGTGAACCAACCACAGTAGAACCAACCAAAGGTGGACCAACCAAAGGTGTGAACCAACCAAAGGTGAACCACCAAAGGTGAACCACCCACAGGTGAACCAACCAAAGGTGAACCAACCAAAGGTGAACCAACAAAAGTTGCTATCAATTATCTAATTAATTTTTCATGACCAGTTCAAAACAGCGACAAAACAGTACAGCTTTGTTCCTCCAATACTGAGTGCTGGCTATTACTAGTTTGCAGATTCTCTTCATAAGGTTGCTGTGTACAAGTCATAACATTCTTGGAAATTTTTAAAGATTTAGAACACAGTAGTGAGAATAATATCTTTTTTCTTGTTCAAAGTTGTTAATCTGACAAAATATTTGTAAACGGTACATTTAGAACTCTGTTAATTTATTGTGATAATCACATTCAATACAGATGTATTGCTGAATAATTCAGTGATATCTGGACCATTTCAAAAAGGTCATGTGACATTGTTACTGGTCACAATTTACCTCATGGTCAGAGTTTTTCAGTCCAATACAGTACGACCTGGAGGTTCTTGCTATACAAGCTGTCATTCCGAAAAGGTCAATTGCTATGTCAGCCATTCGTTTCTGATGAATCTGTTGGTCTACCACCTCCTAAAAAAACAGATATTGTCAAAAATATATCAATACTCCCACACAGGAAATAATGATTAATAGTAAATCTTTATATAAATACAATAACATCACATTCGAGTATATATAAAACAGAGTACTGAAAGAACTCAAATGCAAAGACCCTGATGGTAAAAGTGAAATTCTCCTCATCTTTTTATCCATTTGCTGTTTTATACGTAATGTTTACCTATCTAATTTTACTTTGGCAACTATATAAAAAGAATGGCAAAACAATCTACCACACAAACAATGTATGACAACAAACTGTCATTTGCTACCCAAGGGATGTAACGTTCTACCAACCTTTTTGTATTTGGACAGTATTTTCACAACAGCTCTTTGTAAATGTAGTGTATATTTTTCCAACATGTCTGCTTGAGGCTGAAATAAATAAATTCATGCAACATTACAGTTTTCTACACGTTGAAAAGATCTTCAGTCCATAAAAATACAGTTAAACATTTTTATGAAGAATACAATCAAATGAACTTGTATTAAGTAAAAACTCCTGATAGTGTTTTTGCTATTAATAATTATACACAAAACGTTTTTTTTCAGGATAAGAAAACTGAAGAAGGTAACATCAGTAGCTAGTATGTTATGTTACCAGGCTGTAAATGTTCAGTACCGAAACTTATAGTGCACTACATTAGTCAGGTGTTTTACCTTTAGAGTCGGGTGAATTCCCTCATGTAGCTTCATAGTTAGTTTTGGTTCAGTTTCAAAGTACATTCTGAGCAGTGTTGAAGGGTTGGTGAGAATGTTTGAGACTTTTCTGTATTTCAAAGAAGAAAACAATTTCAAACACTAATCCTTACTAATGTAATTAACAAATACTGTTGACAACCAATTCTGTCACAGACACAACAGCTTTTGGTGTACCAGACTGAAACAAAATAGACATTACAGGTTTTTAAAGCATATCTTCCGACTCAGCCACACCTTTTTTCCTCGTGAGTCGGGAGTGTAGCTTATATATGCCGATATGTCTTATTTCTGGACAAAAAAATTTTAAAAAACCAATGGTTAATGAAATTTTCAAACATGAATTTAAAAAAATTGGAAACATTATTTATCATCTCCACAGCTACAGGTTTGTAGTTACAGGTCAGATTGATATATTTTCAGTGTTAGATATTTGTATTTAATACTCTTCTTTGTTCAGCAGTAGCCATTTGAATTTTTCACTAACCAATATTTAACTACAACTAACCTTTAAGCGACAAGTTTTTGACTGAAACAGATCATGTAGAGCCATCACTTGTAGTCGTAATACTGATTGAATCCAAAAATTCAATTAAAATTGGCTCTGTGGCTTATATACCAGTGTGACTTACAACCCGCAAAATACATCACATAGTAATATATACCAGTGTGACTTACAACCCGCAAAATACATCACATAGTAATATATACCAGTGTGACTTACAACCCGCAAAATACATCACATAGTAATATATACCAGTGTGACTTACAACCCGCAAAATACATTACATAGTAATAGTGACTATGACCTGGGCTACAACACTGCTAAAATCACGTTCAACTTTGATGAAGTTGAATTTCACATTTGCACCTTCACTGGGCGATACTGTTCACTTACATTTGTTCCTTCAGAGCCTTTCCTGCAAACTGTAGTCCATTCAGTGCAACAAACATTCTCAAAATCTCATTTGTCCCCTGGAAAACAATACCAAAAACAACACATTGTCATGTCAAGGAATACATCAAAAACTGGAAGATCTATTTGGGATGAGGTATGATAAGTACCACCTCCACACTTTTCTGCAGTATCAATACTATTATAATATTAATATTCTGTACAAGTTCCATTCTGAGCCTGAACACAATACAGAAAGGCTAAGCTTCAACCAAACATTTGCCAACAACAACACTATTATACAAGAGAATCAGTAGAACCGATGGATGTTCCCCGAATAAACAGCAGAACTTTCATGTTGATTCCTCATCATGTTATGCTCCAGACAAAATTTAAGGATGAAAAAATGGCAATTACTCCTAAATTATGCAAAAAAGAGTGATGGTTTTTGTACACTACACTTCTCATTATCAAAATCTATCTACACATGACGTTTCATGTTGATACCTATTATAGTTTTCGTGTTATGCTCTGGACATAATTATAACAGACGGACGGACGAACAAATGGATGGACAGAAAGACATAAATTGACTCTACATGCTTAAGTGTTAACTTAATGTGTATTGTAAAACTTACCTGAACTATCTTTTTCCTCAGTAAAATTCTAATGACCTAATATAATCAGTTTTTCATACCTCAAATATCATTAAAATTCGTCCATCCCGGAGATATCTCTCATAAGGGTAGTCCTTCATGTAGCCAAGACCTCCCAAAATCTGTAGGCACTCATTCACACAAACCCAGCATCCTTCTGAGCTGAAAATCTAGACCATAACAAGAAATGTCTCAGAACATCATCTTTCATGTCACGCTACATCTGTACATGCAATATAATTATTTTTATTCATGTAAATACCCGGTTATCAGTGTAATAACAACCCCTGTAACTATATCTAACAGGGCTGTGATTCCACTGTTTCAATTGTGGCTATATCAAACAAGACAAAGGCCATCATCAAAGACAGGTTATGCTCCCTGAATGGGACAAAATTTAAGTATGAAAAACAACAAAGGGCTATAACTCCTATAACATGCAAAAGAGAGATAGTTGTTGCATACTTCACCTTGCTGTGATCTATCTACCTATGAAGTGTCATGCTGATACTTGTTATAGTGTTTGTGCTATGCTTCGCACAAAATTATGTCAAACAGGCAAAGGCATTGTACAATAGAAGATACTTTCCATACATTATCTCAGTGAAATAGGAACTTGCGTCAGCTGTATGTTATTAAAACTTTCCTCGTGGAATTTCCTTGAAGTAGCACGTATCCAGAAGAATGTATGATCCCAATCACAATTATTTTGATAACTTATACTTTACAGTACCAAAAATTTAAGGCAAAATTGTCAGAAAAGGAAATCTATTTTTAGTCCTGTTTCCCTCAAAAAGCTGAAAAACTGCAATAATGCCAAATATCGGTATCCTAGTAAACTTATCTAAATAATGTGCATTTCAATATATACAGTTGGATTTAACCTCACATAATCTAACCTGTACCTTGCAACATAGAAGATATGGTGATTCTGTAACTAGCGACACAGAAGCCGAGTTAATTTTGTAAATTTTAATTTAAATTAATTTACAAGCTTTAACGATATCTGACATCAAAATCTGAAATAAATCCCGACTACTTGTGGTGCTAACGTTACCTTGACCATTGCTGCCTCCAGTGAACAGTCAGGCTGTTGGTACTGGTCTATAATACCTGCCGTCCAGTAAGCCATACTCTCCATAGCGTACGTTGTTACAGCCATCTTCGCAAACTTTTCCTGAATATTTCCAAAGAAAGACCTTAACATATTGTCCTACACAACCTTCACAATATAGATTTTACAAAAATTTAACAATGTTCATCATAGATAAAAGGGCACCTTGTAATATAAATCTTAACTTTTTAGCTTGTATCCTCTGAAAAAATATACGTTTGTGTAATCATATCTTCTTTACCCACATAGTATAAGCATTTAAAAATGTTTCTCAATCATACTATTACGACTTTACAGATCTGACTATCATAATAAAACACAAACAAAAATTTTGTGATTATCAAAATTCTGTTATAAATCATAACCTTAAGTGTCAACTTCCTCCAAGCTATGATGTATTGTCTAAAAAACCATTTCTGTTTGGGTAATGCTATTTAGCTGATCCATGTTTTCTACCAAGTATCAAGTTTTCTATCCTCATTAAGTCTGCAAGCCTGAAAAAAATACCATTACACAATTTACCTTAATAAGTCGGAATTCTGAAAGGTGCTTTCCAAATTGTTTCCTGCTTATGGCATGTTCTGCTGTCATGGCTGCAAATGAATATCAATCCACATAAACATATATTATAACGTATAACTAAGTTCCAGGAGGTTTAAATAAACAAAATTACAACAAACTAGACATACATGTACATTTATGTCATTATATTTTTAGTTCCTCATAGTTTTTAAATTTGTATCACCATTTCTAATTCCTGAAAATGTTTTCAACTTTGAGCTGTTTTTACTAATGTTTTCAATTTTGTATCACTATTTCTAATTCCTGAAAATGTTTTCAACTTTGAGTTGTTTTGACTCCTTCAATAATGATCACCTACAATGTAGGTAGATCCAGGAGTAACAACAGTTAAGTAGGTTCCTTAAACCTTTATCATAAACCTGAACACACCGATCAACTTCTTGAGAATACCAGCTCCTGAGCTGCCCATACTGAATCGTCCACTGTTTAATATATTCATGGCAACCTATAAAAAAGACAACAATTATTTGAACTCTGTTATTTTATACAGATTTTTGCAATAATCTTACTAGCTAAATCATCATGTTTCTTTTCTTCAATTTTAGAGGAAAATCTGCCACATTTCAACTGTTTCCAGTTCACTTTGGTCTTGTTTTAAGTATAACAAAGTGTTGTGATTGTAGGTCTCTGAGTAAAATAGTTGATATCACTTTGTCTTTTCGGTAACAATACTTGTTTAAGTCTAAACTCTGTGAAGCCTCTGTCTGATTGTAGACTACACTTATTGTAGCAGGCATATTATATACTGGTTGTATATATCCAGTGACCATAAATAGGAATTTGTGGTAGATCCCTGTATCTTGTCATCCGACGTGTCATTTCGGTAACTGTTCATTAACATGGATAAAGATACCGTGTTCTCAATTTTTTGTTTGCTGCAGCCTTGCATTACTATTCTGTCAAAAGTTAACATGCCAGGTTTGGGTAGTCAGCACCCCACGCTCGTACCTATGACCAAGAGGTGAAGGACTAGTGTTTAATACAGTCAGACTTAACCACTTTACCATCGAGGCCCATAATAGCAAGAACACTGGGTCACTCAACCTGAAGGCCTCTAATACTGAGATCCCTGGGTCACTCAACCTGAGGTGAGATGTCTTAACCTCTCTGCCACCGAGGCCCCTAACAGTGAGAACCCTGGGTCACTCAACCTGAGGTGAGATGTCTTAACCTCTCTGCCACCGAGGCCCCTAACAGTGAGAACCCTGGGTCACTCAACCTGAGGTGAGATGTCTTAACCTCTCTGCCACCGAGGCCCCTAACAGTGAGAACCCTGGGTCACTCAACCTGAGGTGAGATGTCTTAACCTCTCTGCCACCAAGGTCCCTAACAGTGAGAACCCTGGGTCACTCAACCTGAGAACCCTGGGTCACTCAACCTGAGGTGAGATGTCTTAACCTCTCTGCCACCGAGGCCCCTAACAGTGAGAACCATGGGTTACTCTACCTGGGGTGCCATAAGATTAATGACAAGAATGCATCGTTAATCAGAGATAAATTAATGTAAATGTCCCAGTACATTCACTACAAATAGATAACTTTGAAATTCAGTGTGTAAATGATTGATATTCATATTTCATTTAACACAGCAAATAGTTTCAAATTTATTTCAAACAAAGATACAAGACTTTGGTCGCTCTCATGTAAACAGTTGAAGCAGTTGAACCTGTAAGAAAAATGCCGGGTACAGAGCGGGATCGAGACTGGACTGTGGAATATTCATCACATGCAAATAGAGGGATCCTGCTCTACCTGTCAGAAACTTACTTGGTGAATATCATTATTTTTCAGGACTTTAGCATAAAGCAGGGTCTGTACACTCGCATATTTCTGGAAGCATCACACTAAAAGTATAAGTTATATGGATAGCACCTTATTTTTAATTTGTTCTTTAATGCTTGACAGGAACTTTAGAAACTTTGCATTTTGAGCTAACATACAAATATGTGTATCAGTTCCAACATCCGATACATATATGTTTGTGTGTTGTGGAATAATTCCACACCACCTGAATTGTTACAACAGTGTTACAGACAGGTGGCTACAACATCCGATACATATATGTTTGTGTGTTGTGGAATAATTCCACAATTGTTACAACAGTGTTACAGACAGGTGGCTACACCTGAATTGTTACAACAGTGTTACAGACAGGTGGCTACAACCTCCGATACATATATGTTTGTGTGTTGTGGAATAATTCCACACCACCTGAATTGTTACAACAGTGTAACAGACAGGTGGCTACAACCTCCGATACATATATGTTTGTGTGTTGTGGAATAATTCCACACCACCTGAATTGTTACAACAGTGTTACAGACAGGTGGCTACAACATCCGATACATATATGTTTGTGTGTTGTGGAATAATTCAAAACCAACTGAATTGTTACAACAGTGTTACAGACAGGTGGCTACAACCTCCGATACATATATGTTTGTGTGTTGTGGAATAATTCCACACCACCTGAATTGTTACAACAGTGTAACAGACAGGTGGCTACAACCTGATACATATATGTTTGTGTGTTGTGGAATAATTCCACACCACCTGAATTGTTACAACAGTGTTACAGACAGGTGGCTACAACATCCGATACATATATGTTTGTGTGTTGTGGAATAATTCCACACCACCTGAATTGTTACAACAGTTAACAGACACGTGGCTACAACATGCGATACATATATGTTTGTGTGTTGTGGAATAATTCAAAACCAACTGAATTGTTACAACAGTGTTACAGACAGGTGGCTACAACCTCCGATACATATATGTTTGTGTGTTGTGGAATAATTCCACACCACCTGAATTGTTACAACAGTGTAACAGACAGGTGGCTACAACCTCCGATACATATATGTTTGTGTGTTGTGGAATAATTCCACACCACCTGAATTGTTACAACAGTGTTACAGACAGGTGGCTACAACATCCGATACATATATGTTTGTGTGTTGTGGAATAATTCCACACCACCTGAATTGTTACAACAGTTAACAGACACGTGGCTACAACATGCGATACATATATGTTTGTGTGTTGTGGAATAATTCCAAACCACTTGAATTGTTACAACAGTGTTACAGACAGGTGGCTACAACATCCGATACATATATGTTTGTGTGTTGTGGAATAATTCAAAACCAACTGAATTGTTACAACAGTGTTACAGACAGGTGGCTACAACATCCGATACATATATGTTTGTGTGTTGTGGAATAATTCCACACCACCTGAATTGTTACAACAGTGTTACAGACAGGTGGCTACAACATCCGATACATATATGTTTGTGTGTTGTGGAATAATTCCAAACCACCTGAATTGTTACAACAGTGTTACAGACAGGTGGCTACAACATCCGATACATATATGTTTGTGTGTTGTGGAATAATTCCACACCACCTGAATTGTTACAACAGTGTTACAGACAGGTGGCTACAACATCCGATACATATATGTTTGTGTGTTGTGGAATAATTCCACACCACCTGAATTGTTACAACAGTTAACAGACACGTGGCTACAACCTCCGATACATATATGTTTGTGTGTTGTGGAATAATTCCACACCACCTGAATTGTTACAACAGTGTTACAGACAGGTGGCTACAACATCCGATACATATATGTTTGTGTGTTGTGGAATAATTCCACACCACCTGAATTGTTACAACAGTGTTACAGACAGGTGGCTACAACATCCGATACATATATGTTTGTGTGTTGTGGAATAATTCCACACCACCTGAATTGTTACAACAGTTAACAGACACGTGGCTTAGTCTCTCTATTAGTTTCTTTATTTTTTTCTTTCTCATGTAAAATAGGTAAATTGTGTGCCTCACCTTGAATCCCCCTCCAACCTCTCCGAGTACATTCTCTATTGGGACGGGTGTATTGTCAAAATGAACCTCACATGCTAAAAACAAAAATAAAATTAATCAATACAGAATTTTTGTAATAGAAGTTCCCTAAATAACAAATTCAGGATTTGAAAATCCAGTGAGAAACCATGTTTCAATCTATAACAGACGATTTTAAACTTCAGTAAATTTTTCATCACAATACTTTGTGGTAGTGAAAACTTCTCTGAAACAGAAGACTATGCTATAACTGAAATACTGGTCAGAGTAAACAGAAACTTTCATGACCATTTTTTTTATTGTGAAATTCAAGAAAATAAATCGCATGAGTAATAAGGCTGGCTTAAAGTAGTTCATGTAAATAATGACTACAAATTTCGTAAATTCAGTGGTAATGTTCAGTATTAGATCGGCAAAGATCCTCTAGTAAAATATGTAATCACTGTTAGAACCACAGATGCCTAACTTATCCTGTGGTAATGTATGTACTCACTGTTAGAACCACAGATGCCTAACTTATTCTCTGATAATGTATGTACTCACTGTTAGAACCACGGATGCCTAACTTATTCTCTGATAATGTATGTACTCACTGTTAGAACCACCAATGCCTAACTTATTCTCTGATAATGTATGTACTCACTGTTAGAACCACCAATGCCTAACTTATTCTCTGATAATGTATGTACTCACTGTTAGAACCTGATAATGTATGTACTCACTGTTAGAACCACGGATGCCTAACTTATTCTCTGATAATGTATGTACTCACTGTTAGAACCACAGATGCCTAACTTATCCTGTGGTAATGTTTGTACTCACTGTTAAAACCACAGATGCCTAACTTATCCTGTGGTAATGTATGTACTCACTGTTAAAACCACGGATGCCTTACTTATCCTGTGGTAATGTATGTACTCACTGTTAAAACCACGGATGCCTAACTTATCCTGTGGTAATGTATGTACTCACTGTTAAAACTACAGATGCCTTACTTATCCTGTGGTAATGTATGTACTCACTGTTAGAACCACGGATGCCTAACTTATCCTCTGGTTTGCCACTAGTAACACCACCAAAACTTCTCTCCACTATGAAAGCTGTTACTTTATCAACTTTCTTTCCCTACAGAAAAAAATTCTGGCATTGATTTCTATAATATTACACATACTCAACAGCATGTCTAGTAGGCACTTGGACTTTCCAAGTAATTAACATTATTTCTAAACAGCAGATGAATTCAGACTACAAAATTACAAACTTTAAACGAAGAAAAACATTCATTCAAGCTCTATATCCCAAGCCCCCACATCAATTTACTTTACAATAAAACCATCTGAATATAATCTCGTATAACATCTAGAAATATCAAAAGAACTCTTTTATTTTCAAAATAAGAAACAATACATCATATATTTACTCACATCCTTTTCCACCTCTGTTTTGGCAAATACCGTAAAGATTTCAGCAATGCCTCCATTGGAGATCCAAATTTTCCCACCATTCAGGTAAAATGTTTTGCCATCCTCAGAAAGAGTCGCCTTAGTTTGAATGGAGGCTGCATCACTTCCACTTAAAACAAAAACAGTTTTAGTAAAAACATTGGTTTAAATATAAAATACTATTGTCCAAAGTTTGTCACAAAGTTATCAGATGGGTAAGTCACTGTAAAAAATACATCAGCATCCTTGACCCTTTGACCCCTTGACCCCTTGTAAAGCTAATGTAAGTATCTAGTATTTCACAACAATATGTACTTATAGGTTATTTAACTACTTGCCAAGTATCTTTATTAACCTTGTTTCAAAAACTAGTTTGGAATTGAAGCGTTTGGCCAAACATTCAATTACTGGTATTTATGTCATAAAATTCTACCAAAATGACAAAGCCCCAATGCAAGATTAAACTTGTGAAACACAGAAATAAGCGAAAGTTATTATGTTGAACAGTTCTAGATTACCTGGATGGTTCAGTGAGACAGAAGGCTGCAATGTTTTCTCCTGTGGCCAGCTTGGGAAGGTATTTTTCTTTCTGTTGATCATTTCCAGCAATCAATATACCCTTTCAAAAAACAAATTCACTCATCTCATCTTCACTTATGACATACATGCACTCCTCATTGAGATAAATTTGAATATAAGGGAAATCATTTTATAGTTTTGGAAATGTATGAAAATTATTACTATGATGTGTATATATAGAACTGAAAATATATAAAGATATGATATTAATCAAATGTTTTTCTATTGCCTTTTTTTAAGGAGATGGTCACCATTCAATACAACTATACATTAATATATAATAGTATTTGTAGTGTTTGAATAGGGTAAATTTCTGAATCCTTCTGTGACTGGGATAAGGTATCAGTGACCTACTTTTGGTATGCAACACTTTGTTGTCTATAATGATATGTCAATGGAAACAAAGTTCTTGGTAAACCCACTTTAGAATGGAACAAAATATGTGTATCAAACTGGTATAAACAACAGAATATACAGACACTTGTACAGACAAGTTACGTCACTAGAGTTAAAACATAAATCATGTGTACATTAGTGTATCCTTGACAACTTTTGGGATTGAAGACACATACAATACATTCTGTATTTAAAAAATGGATCATTAAGTTAGAATATGCACAGATCTAGAAAAAGCCTTCAGTTTCCATGGATGACCGAACTTAATGCTTTGATAAATACTTTTAGTCCTATAGACTGGTGAGCTGCCAAGGTGACAGCTACTGAACCATCTAAAGCTGTTATCTCAGCCAGACGAGCGAATTTTGTAGCATTTAATCCAAGCCCACCTACAACAAAAAAGTTACACTGTACCACACAGTATTTGTAATCTTACATCCAGCCAGAAAAGATAACAAAATTTTTAACTTGTGTTACTTGTAAGTCAACTGGTTAATACAAAATTTTTGTTTTAAGTCTTTTCACTGGCCTAGCTAACATACATGGAATCATACAAATCAACAAAAAGCCCACAGGCCTTAACTGTCTTCTGACTACAAAACTTTCAGCAGGGAGAAGGGTTATATCTTCTACTTTGAATGAAGTCTTGCAAAGAAGCTGTTTTCCACGATGCAGATGGTAGTTTTGGTGAGGAGCAGATAATTGTGACAAGTGATACCTTTTCTTTGACAGTAAAGTTTTTAGAAAGCATTCAACCCTAAATCTGAGTCAGTTTCCTTTCTGAAGACACAGCCCTTGTGTCAAAAGGGGTTAATCCTGCCTCCTATATGTAAGAAATGTGTCATTTCAAACAAGTTGGAGTTCAATCCCACTGGTGAAACTTGAGGAGAAGTTTGAAATAGGTGTTGCACAGGAAAACCGTGATTGTACAATCATGTTACAAAATGGCATCCCTGGCTGCCATGTGAAAGTCTTGACAAGGTTGAAAAATAATAACACTTTGTTGGCTAACTTTATTCCTTAACATTACCACCAGGTTTTAGCTTATAGCACCAGGGGAACTGGAGAAGAAGTTAAAGATATGTTTTTCAAGATGACAGCCATGGCGGCTATCTTTGATTTCAGACAGACTGGAAAAATAACAACACTTGGTCAGGGCCATCTCAGGATCATTTAATGCGAGTTTGAGCTCAATTCCATTGGTGGAACTTTAGAAGAAGTTTAAAATGTCAGAAGTTTACGCTCGACAGACAAAACATAACTTTGAAATAAGTTAATATAAAATAATGCTATTTTGAAATGAATGGAGAAGTTAAAAAAATCTATTTCATTTTCTAATTAAAGATATGACTAATACAATCTTATATTCCGATACATGATTATGAAGTTTTCCTTAACAAATTTGGATGCAACTAGGTGATACATACTGAAACCTCGCTTGAATATCAACAGTAAAAATATAAAATAAGTTTTAAAAACCGAAATTTCATTTTTTTTTTCTTGGCTATTTTTCATTTTTGCTTACGTACAGTAATTATAAACAAATATCAGACAAATACAAGAGGTTAAGTATGTTGTAACCAACAATACAACAGAATATCATTTACCGTAATTAAATCATTGAATGGTAACAAGATCATTAAACTTACCATGTTCTTCTGGGATTTGCTGACCAAATAAACCAAGGTCCTTAATTTCCTGAAGGGTTTCCTCTGATATTTTAGCATTCACATCAATTGATTTGGAGTCCACTGCCAAAATATGTAAGGCATACACCGATAATAATACAGTCAAGCTTTCAACAGCCTTATAAACTTCCATAAATTATCATTACACAGTTCACACACTTACATTGTAATTATCAAAAAATGTGTCTAGCACTATTTTAAAATACTGAATTATAAAATTGATTACATAAACCTACATGGACTGGCAAATCTGTTGTTAATATAATGTGACTGGGTGGAGTGTCATACTGACGTGTCCAGGTTATGACATTTCAGTGTGTTGGTAATATTGGCACCCTTGTTGTCAGTATAATGTGACCGGGTGGAGTTTCATACTGACGTGTCCAGGTTATGACATTTCAGTGTGTTGGTAATATTGGCACCCTTGTTGTCAGTATAATGTGACCGGGTGGAGTGTCATACTGATGTGTCCAGGTTATGACATTTCAGTGTGTTGGTAATATTGGCACCCTTGTTGTCAGTATAATGTGACCGGGTGGAGTGTCATACTGATGTGTCCAGGTTATGACATTTCAGTGTGTTGGTAATATTGGCACCCTTGTTGTCAGTATAATGTGACCGGGCGGAGTGTCATACTGATGTGTCCATGTTATGACATTTCAGTGTGAAGGTTATATTGGTGTCCTTGTCAGTATAATGTGACGGGGCGGAGTGTCATACTGATGTGTCCAGGTTATGACATTTCAGTGTGAAGGTTATATTGGTGTCCTTGTCAGTATAATGTGACGGGGCGGAGTGTCATACTGATGTGTCCAGGTTATGACATTTCAGTGTGAAGGTTATATTGGTGTCCTTGTCAGTATAATGTGACGGGGCGGAGTGTCATACTGATGTGTCCAGGTTATGACATTTCAGTGTGAAGGTTATATTGGTGTCCTTGTCAGTATAATGTGACGGGGCGGAGTGTCATACTGATGTGTCCAGGTTATGACATTTCAGTGTGAAGGTTATATTGGTGTCCTTGTCAGTATAATGTGACGGGGCGGAGTGTCATACTGATGTGTCCAGGTTATGACATTTCAGTGTGAAGGTTATATTGGTGTCCTTGTCAGTATAATGTGACGGGGCGGAGTGTCATACTGATGTGTCCATGTTATGACAGTGTGAAGGTAATATTGGCACCCTTGTTGTCAGTATAATGTGACCAGGCAGAGTGTCATACTGATGTGTCCAGGTTATGACAGTGTGATGGTTATACTGGCACCCTTGTTGTCAGTATAATGTGACTGGGTGGAGTGTCATACTGATGTGTCCAGGTTATGACATTTCAGTGTGTTGGTAATATTCTCACCCTTGTTGTCAGTATAATGTGACTGGGTGGAGTGTCATACTGATGTGTCCATGTTATGACAGTGTGATGGTTATACTGGCACCCTTGTCGTCAGTGGATGTGTCCAGGTTATGACATTTCAGTGTGTTGGTAATATTCTCACCCTTGTTGTCAGTATAATGTGACTGGGTGGAGTGTCATACTGATGTGTCCATGTTATGACAGTGTGATAGTTATACTGGCACCCTTGTTGTCAGTATAATGTGACCGGGTGGAGTGTCATACTGATGTGTCCAGGTTATGACATTTCAGTGTGTTGGTAATATTGGCACCCTTGTTGTCAGTATAATGTGACCGGGCGTAGTGTCATACTACCATGTCCAGGTTATGACATTTCAGTGTGTTGGTACTATTGGCACCCTTGTTGTCAGTATAATATGACCGGGTGGAGTGTCATACTGATGTGTCCATGTTATGACAGTGTGATGGTTATACTGGCACCCTTGTTGTCAGTATAATGTGACCGTGTGGAGTGTCATACTGACGTGTCCAGGTTATGACATTTCAAAATAATGGTTTTATTGACACCCATTGTTGTCTCTATAACAGCATAATGTGTTTAGTGTGGCGTTATACTATGTATATCATACCCTGGCTGATGTAAGGATATAAAACCCCTAAAAATAGCTGTAAATACAGAGTGAAATTTACCACCACTAAAATCCTATGCTTATGTAAGAAATATATAGTAGTCAAATTATAAAATCCAACTTTTGCTTCTCTGAGAGAAAATGATATTCACCAAGATGTTGCAGATCGGTGTTCTTAAAGTCTTTTATGTAGTCATCAACAGTTGTTTGACTGCCATAGCATGTCATTTCATTTTTAATTTGTTAATATGTTCAAATCATGCTGTGATAGATGATTAAACAAATAGCATGTTCATCTGTTTGATAACTTAAACATGATTTAAATTAACACAATGGTATCCCTTAGCTTCAGTCAATTAACCTAAATTTATTGACAAGACACAAGTCTTTGTCTTGGGTTAATAAATCAAGAGACAAACCTCATTCACAGGCTATAATTGTATAATATATGTAACTCTGGGATCAAGCTGATCAGTTGGAAAAGACAACTCTGTCTTATTACATAACAAGATCTTTATAAATTATTCAAAAACTTACATGCTTCCTCAAAATATTTCTCGATGGGCTGAACCATTTGGTTTAAATCATTCAGCTCATCTTCTGGTATTGTTGGGTAAGCCAGAAATGCCTGTAAAATAGGAGTGTCTCACCATTACCAATCAGTGTCTGACCAAATAAACAGTGCTTAACAGTAAACTTTGATATTTAAAACCAAATAATGAGAACACAACCAATCCAAAATCTTGACAAAATAGAATCCAAACTTTCATCCTTTTTATATTATATTTCTTATCCCAAATGTTGCTGTGTGATATTCTTTTTTATAACAAAACATTCAATAGACCATTGATAGTATGTTTTTTAATAAAGAGTTTTGACTCTTGGGTTGGATATTTCATGTTGTTCCGACCCTTCAGATTTGTTATTTGACTTCCAAAATTTCCAAATGCCAAGGAACATCTGAAAGCACTGATTAAAATTAAAAATGTTCTAAAGTGGAGATCATTTTTGGTGTAGTTCTGGAAGTTCCAAATTTATTATTGCAGAACAATTTTCATGATTTGCATCCCTTGTTATTCTGGAATTTTAGCATTAGACTTCATTTCACTGATCTTATTTCAAATAGTTAATACATATACAATTCACTAGATGCCATTGGTTTGTGGTCTAAGAAACACATGCTTCTTTCCAATGGTAGAAAAATAGAATAGTTCGTTCTTTTTATTGAACAAATAGTTTATACCAAGAATAAAGAAGGTTTTTTTTTATTTTGCCTCGTCCTTCAGTGACAATAATGAAAGGTATTGATAAAGGTTAGCAGAAAGGCAAGAAGTAATGGTATCAACAGGCCTACATGATACTGTCTTAATCTTTATGTATGCAAAGATATGTTTTTCAACAACTACTTCAACACAATTTCAAGATTATTTTTCAAGCTGTCGCATAGTATCCGGGATAATTTCCCGTTTTTTAAGAAATTTTTTCTTTAAATCAGCTGGTATAATTAAAAATGAAATTATTTATCAAAACATCTAACCCTAAGTACAAAAAAGTGCCTGACCTTATCCAACTTTCCCACAAATAGATTTTTAGCAAATGGAACATTTGTGATGGGCCGGTTGTCCTCTACCGTATACACAGGCGAATCTGTTTGAGATGCAACTTGATTTGCACACCATCGTACTGAAGAAAAAATCCGGTGTGTTTTAAAAATGTGACATTTCTGTGTTGACTTTGCAAAGTGTAAACTTGTTTTAGAAAACATATTTTGTTCTCAGGGCAAAGTCCGTTGTGACAGTCGACTAGTCGCAACCGATTAGTCGGCGTTAGTTACATGTTTGATTAGTGCAATGAGTGTCTGCCGATTTTAAAACACCCGAAAGACACAGATTGTCCAACCGGTTTTTAACGAAGCTTTAGTTACGTAAATTCTGCAATAAAACACAAATTAATATGACTTTATTCTAATAACTTTAACACACGAATATAATATTTACAAAATGACTCGTTATCATGAAATTCTAACAGGTATGAAGAAAATGACAGCAGAACCCGTTTTTTTCGCATAACCCGAATAGTCTAGTCGTGATTGGGGTGTGGCGTTAACAGTAGCAAGTCATTTGGGTTATTAGGGTATGTGAAGTCAACTAAATCCGGAAATTGTGTCAAGGGAAAATAACAATACTCAACAGTTTGGCTCGCTGTCAGTAAATTGCATTAAGTTCTGGAATCTCTAACGTACATGGTAAGTACATACTCTTAACTTACAACAAAAAATTCTACTTTCACTTTCAGAAGCTACCTGCTATCGTCAGCTGAGGAAGTATGTGTTTCCATCATAGTTATATTCTTCATTCGTTTGTTGATTGTGTCGGCGCGATGATTAATCCAAATACGACACAGTACTTCCCAATACAAACGCTGATTTACCCAATACTACTCTTGTAACCTAACACAAGTGTCGATTTACTGGATGCAACCCAATACTAATTAATGCAACCAAATGCAAGTGTTGATTTACTTAGTGTAAAGTTAAGTTTATCTGATACAAGTATCGACAGTGTTACTGTTTCACGGAATGATACTCAGCACAGTTTGCATTTTCCCCCTCAACATTGTCATATGGTTTTCGTTATTTGGTGTAATAGGGGGTTTGGGGCTGCACATCCGACATGCATGCTCTGGTGACACCCACAACCAACGTGTGTGCACAGTAGTTCCACAAAGAGCAGTGCCCAGCCAGAACTGCTGTTTATTCCCTATTGCCATCATCTTTTTTCTAGTACTGGAGTTACAAGCTGTCACAAGTAGCAGTACCTTCCTAGATAGCAGATGTTGGCCCAATGTTGGTTGTTGGTCATTAGGTTGGCCCTACATTGGTGTTTGCATAATAATGTTGGCTTATTGTTGTAACCCCAACCATAAATTTTTATGTGTTGGGCCAATTGAATGAAATAAATCTAACAATCAATTCCAATGCCTTGGCCTGACGTATGGTGGATGTAGTAAAACTAACAATTAATTTACAAGTGAGTAAATTAGGAATACAAATGTAAGACCCAAATCATTGTGATATTACCATATTAGCATCCCTGTTTTTACCTTTTACACCTTGTGTTAGAATATATAGTGACAAGGTGTCTAGAGATTATTTCGCCACTTGTCCTTTAATACCATTTACGTGGCAGTTAATGTTAATCAAGACCTAAAATTCATTTTCCTAAATTATGTGACTTGATATTTTTATAATTTGTACAATTTTTTCTACAATTGTAATAACCGTGTACGTGCAACCGGGACTCATAGTGGGTGTAAGGGGTAATTAAGTTCCCCATTGAGTACATCGCAACAAGAAGATTGAAGATGCCTCTCTACAAGCAAAGCTTTCAATCAAGGCGACATACCTGCGAAATACATACATTTTTGCCGATGGTGGCCTGTGTTATTTTCTGTGCTCATAATCTTCACATAAATGATAATTATCATCTCATATCAATAGCACAATACTAAATGACTAAATTCAAAGTATTTATCTTGACTGTTTATATATATTTTAAAAAAAAAACAAAGAAATATAAAGATTGAAATTCAGAACAATTTATTGGTATGCTATACTTATTATAGTTTCCAAAATTTTCAAAAATATTTTAACAACATAAGGATTACCACCACAGCTTAGCATTCTTATGCGAGCTATTTGATATCCAAAAACATGTCTAGGATTGCATCTAAGATGAGGGATAGGTTAGCCAGTTTCTCCGGCCAGTGGACCAGTCCTTTGTGCACAGGCAAGCTATGTAATACGCAACAGAAACTTGATGCTGATTTCCATATATAATGGATGGATAAGGATGTGTGTGTATGTGTAGGTGTGTGTGAGGGTGTGTGTGTTAAATTTTTCTCTAAATATACCACAGCTTACTGTATAGATAAAGTCACCCATGAAGTGTTTTCTCATATCGGTTAATGATTCCTGTATCTTGACCTGCACTTGCAATGTTGTTTACATTAATCCTCAAATGCAGATTAAATTCAAACTTAATTTCACAAACACCCTGGTAATTATCATCATTGAAATATTTAAGGAGCTGTACAGACAAAAACTCTCACAGTAAAGGCAATCAACAGATTAGCTGAGATAAACAAGCGACAGAAAAACGGGGGAAACTGAAGACAAAAATGTCACAATATAGCACAATACATTGTGTTTTAGTACATTAAATGACTTATTGTAGAACGGACATGAACACTAGGTAGCAAAATAGCTTAATTTGATTCAGTGATATAATGGAAACTACATAATTTTATCAACACATTAAATAAGTTGAATTTTGATTCCACTAAAAATTTGTTTGCAAATCGATGCAATGTCCGTAGTTAAAATCCCTGAACAGTTTTAGAACTTGCTGCAATATCTTGTGATACTGAAAATGATATTCCAATAAATTGCTGCTGGACAAATATTTTGACATGTTTACTATTGAAATATTTTGGTGCATACCTATTCTGTAGCAATGCCTGGATTCAGTTCCAATTTGGTCTGAAGCATCCTTGGGTAAAGGTGACTCTGTTGTGTATAAATCCAAAATTAACTATGAAACTCTTCCAACAAAAAACTGGACCCAAAGTTATATCCATGGCAACCATCAACAACTAATACAATGGTTTTGTTAAATGCTATACTGATGGTACTGAAATTCCAACTACAGGTAGAATAGGTCTAGGAGTTTTCTCCCCTGACAACAACATAAACATTTCAATCAGAATGTCGTACAATTGCTCTGTTTATTCTAATGAACTCATAGCTAAAGGCTTAGCAGTAAGATGGATAGATCAAACCTAACTGAGCAGTCATCCCCACAGAAAGTCTTTATGCTCTCCAATGTGCCGTCCGTCATCCATAATTTTTTGCTTAACAACTTGGCAGATTTCAACCAAATTTGGTCTGAAACATCATTTCTTAAATTCAGAAATTTGATTCAACCCCTAGGGACCTGGGATGGAGCACCAAATGTGTAGTAAACAATACTTGTTTCAAAACACTACTCTTCCTTAATGCTTGTGTGGATTTCATTCAAATTTTGTCTGTAAAAATAATTCTTAAGTTCAACAAGTTGATTTGACCCCTAGGGACTTGGGGGCAGGGTCCAGAAATGGAAATTAGACAATGTTTTGCTTCAAAACACTACTCCTTCTTAATGCCTGGGCAGAAAGTTGATTTGACTCCTAGGGACTTGGGGGGGGGGAGGTCTCAAAAGGGGAATAACCAAATTTGGTTAAAAACTGCTACTCTTTCTTAATGCTTGAATGGATTTCAACCAAATTTCATCTGGAACATCATTGAAAGTTGAGAGTCATTTTTTAAATTCAGAAAGTTGATTCAACATCAAGGGACTAAAGTATTATGGAGAATGGGGAATATGACTGGAGAAATGGCAATTGTGTAGTGCATGTAAAATGAATATGATTTCAAGTTTACAGAAAATGTCTCGATGAACCAACAATGTCTCCTGTGTAAGCTATAGAGTGGTTGAACAATTTATTTTAGGCCTATTTTGCCTCTTCTGTATATAGGTTTTTATAGTCAGATGACTGTTAAGGCCCAGGGGCCTCTTGTTTTTATTAGTTTGAATAACTGAATTACAGCCAAACAAAACCAGTGAACGATACTCATAATTCAATTCTCATAATATTCATGAAGGTTACTAGAATTGATGCTGGGTTTAGAGTTAAGAAAGGTTAAGTACCAGGAGTGTTAGAAAGTCACTCTTTATCTGCAAACAGGTGCAAAATGAAAATAAAAATCCTTGATAAAAAATTTCAGTTTTATTACACTGTGGGCACACTCAACCTGGGAGTTGGGATTTTAGCATTAAAAAAATGTCACTGTCAGTTAATGTTATTGAATATTGTTACACCTTAATTTCTTCCTTTTACAAAGAAACTTTCTTTTTTGCAGTTATTGCTGTGGAAAAGATGCCAGTAGTTAAAGGCAGACTCAATAAGAGGGACCAGAACCGACTTGACAAAAACTACACATATCTGTTAGAAAATTTAGATGCAAAATATGTAGTTGACCTTCTAATTGAACGTGGTATTTTTACCTTAAGGGACAGTGAAATTATACGAAGCCAAGCTTCAACAGAAGATAAAAACAGAACATTTTTGGAGACTCTATATAACTCTGGAGAAGCAGCGTACGAAGTATTCAGAGATATATTAAGGAGAGACTACCAGTTTATTGTTAATCAGCTTGATGCAACTGAACCTGACTTTACAGACAACAGAAGCCAAGGAGGTATGGTTTTTATCATCATTAGCCTCAGTAAGTTTGAGGGTCACATGATAGGGAATTCAAGGTTACAAGATCTAGAACCAAATTTCACAAAATATTAATTGACATTTGCTGGTCAAGACCTGAAGGTCACATGATTTAAAACAGAAAATCACTTGATCTAGAATTGAAGATTACATGTCCTAGAATGAGGATCATATGATCTAGAAATTAAAGTCTGAAGATCTAGAACTGAAGATCACATGATCTACAACTGAAGATCTGGAAATTATGGTTACAGATTCTTATTGAAGGTAATCAGTTGTATACCCAAAGGTCACCAGATCTATACCCAAAGGTCACCAGGTCTACACCCAGAAGTCTCCAGATTTATAACCAAAGGTCACCGGGTCTATACGCAAAGGTCACCAGTTCTATTTCAAAGATCCTCAATGGTCACCAGGTCTATAACCAAAGGTCACCAGATCTATAACCAAGGTCACCAGATCTATACACAAAGGTCACTAGATCTATATCCAAAGGTCACCAGATCTATATCCAAAGGTCACCAGATCTATACACAAAGGTAACCAGATCTATATCCAAAGGTCACCAGGTCTACACGCCAATGATCTATACCCTTAGGTCACCAGACCTAGATGTGAACAGGTCAGCAATTTTGAAACTAATATTGGATGGATAACTGAAGAATTGTGTAAAATGGATCTACTTACCTGAAGGTCACAGAAAATCAAAGGACTACCACATATCATAGATTAAGACAAAATAGAACTGATATTGAGTGTTACAAGACAGAAGGTTCAAATTGTGTTATTTTGAAAATATTTTTTTCATCCAAACAAAGTCTACTGGGTTTGATCTTTATCGATTTGATAAAAATTAATATTTTTGGTTTTTTGGCTTTTGCCCTCCCAAACGCTTACCACAATGTACAATTTAGTGTTATGGCACATCAAACTCCACATAAGCCATTTTCTCAAGAGGATATTACAAAGAATATTATATATAGCCTACTATAGTAGCTTTCTTCACTACACGAAATCAGAGTTTATAATAATATATTATATACATTAATACAGAACTTCACAGGTACATCTTTTCAATGATTTTATTTGAGTGTAGATATTTTTATCCTTTTTTTGCTCTTTATTTTTGTAGAAAAACTGAGAGATGAACTTACAGATGAACAAAAGGCCCACAGAGTATCAGAACTGGATCTTATGTACTTCTCGAAATCTTTCTCGACAGCAATCATGTCTGTTGCGACTGCATTAACTATTAATAAGACCGAGGTCGAGCAAATTCAGTTATCTAACCCGTATAGCGGAGCTCTAAATCATAACCAATGCATGTTGATCAAATGGAGAAACAAAACAGGGAGAGCAGCAACATTGCAGGTACTAGTGGAGGCTTTCATAAAGGCAGAAGAAATTGGCGGTGAACTGAACTGGCAGATTATTAGCCAAGGAGTCGCTAAAATAAGGAAATAGTATGTCAGAGATATATCTGTTTTGATTAACAGTCCCAATAATGTGATGGTGTGTCACCTCAAGAAAAGGAACATACAGGGATCACTTTGTCAATAAGGTTGATAAAAACAATAACTGTTATTCATTTGAAGGTCGCAGGGGTCAGATCTGCTCAGAACTAGAATTTAATTGACTTGGAGTTAAAATTTGTAAGTTTGGTTGACTTATTCTGTGATCCAGATGAATGATCTTCACCAGTTTTGAAGGCTCTACAAGATATGAAAGACTGAGCTTTTATAATGAAACAGAGTGTAATAAATGTTTAAGTGAAAATGCTACCTACATAGAGTGGATAACTAAAAAGAAATGACCCATATCGCAAGTCATGATGAAAAAACATGTTTCACCACAAAATGACATCTTTTTTTTTATATAAGTTAGAATTGATAATTGTTTTCTGTATCATTGCAGACAGAAATGAATCTTATACCGGTATTTATTAAATAAATCTGTTACTTTGGAATTGAGGATAAGAAATTGCATAATCATTACTGTATAATATTCAATTCTAACCCTATAAGATGTTTGTTTGATTTCATTTTACATCAGTTGAGATGCTAATTATGAAATGTTGTCATTGATGATGTACATCTATCTTACTTTTATGCAACAAGATATGTTTAATATTTTGAAGCTATTATATTTAAAATCATGAAATGAATAAAAGAAGAAATGTATCTTTTAAATGATCTTTTGATGTATTGCTAGAAAAAATAATTCTGAACTTATGTTACAGTTCTCTCACTAATCGTACTACCACTATACCTACATACAGAATATATGTGGGACAATCACTAATCCTTACATACAGAATATATGTCGGACAATCGCTAATCCTTACATACAGAATATATGTAGGACAATCACTAATCATACATACAGAATATATGTGGGACAATCGCTAATCCTACATACAGAATATATGTAGGACAATCACTAATCCTACATACAGAATATATGTGGGACAATCACTAATCCTACATACAGAATATATGTGGGACAATCACTAATCCTACATACAGAATATATGTGGGACAATCACTAATTCCTACATACAGAATATATGTAGGACAATCACTAATCCTACATACAGAATATATGTGGGACAATCACTAATCCTACATACAGAATATATGTGGGACAATCACTAATCCTACATACAGAATATATGTGGGACAATCACTAATTCCTACATACGGAATATATGTGGGACAATCACTTGCCCTTACCTACAGAATATGTGTGGGACAATCACATATCCTACATACAGAATATATGAGGGACAATCACTAATTCTACATACAGAATATATGTGGGATAATCACTAATCCTACATACAGAATATATGTCGGACAATCGCTAATCCTTACATACAGAATATATGTGGGACAATCACTAATCCTTACATACAGAATATATGTGGGACAATCGCTAATCCTTACATACAGAATATATGTAGGACAATCACTAATCCTACATACAGAATATATGTAGGACAATCACTAATCCTACATACAGAATATATGTGGGACAATCACTAATCCTACATACAGAATATATGTGGGACAATCACTAATCCTACATACAGAATATATGTCGGACAATCGCTAATCCTTACATACAGAATATATGTGGGACAATCACTAATCCTACATACAGAATATATGAGGGACAATCACTAATCCTTACATACAGAATATATGTGGGACAATCGCTAATCCTACATACAGAATATATGTCGGACAATCACTAATCCTACGTACAGAATATATGTGGGACAATCACTTATCCTTACATACAGAATATGTGGGACAATCACTAATCCTACATACAGAATATATGTGGGACAATTAATAATCCATACATACAGAATATATGTGGGACAATCGCTAATCCTTACATACAGAATATATGTGGGACAATCACTAATCCTTACATACAGAATATATGTGGGACAATCACTAATCCTTACATACAGAATATATGTGGGACAATCACTAATCCTTACATACAGAATATATGTGGGACAATCGCTAATCCTTACATACAGAATATATGTGGGACAATCACTAATCCTTAATACAGGATATATATAGGTCTCCCACTAATCCTTAATACAGGATATCTATAGGTCTCCCACTAATCCTTAATACAGGATATCTATAGGTCTCCCACTAATCCTTAATACACGATATCTGTAGGTCTCCCACTAATCCTTAATACAGGATATCTATAGGTCTCCCACTAATCCTTAACACAGGATATATATAGGTCTCCCACTAATCCTTAATACAGGATATATATAGGTCTCCCACTAATCCTTAATACAGGATATCTATATCTCTCCCACTAATCCTTAATACAGGATATCTATAGGTCTCCCACTAATCTTAATACAGGATATCTATAGGTCTCCCACTAATCCTTAATACAGGATATCTATAGGTCTCCCACTAATCCTTAATACAGGATATCTATATCTCTCCCACTAATCCTTAATACAGGATATCTATATCTCTCCCACTAATCCTTAATACAGGATATCTATAGGTCTCCCACTAATCCTTAATACAGGATATATATAGGTCTCCCACTAATCCTTAATACACGATATCTGTAGGTCTCCCACTAATCCTTAATACAGGATATCTATATCTCTCCCACTAATCCTTAATACAGGATATCTATATCTCTCCCACTAATCCTTAATACAGGATATCTATATCTCTCCCACTAATCCTTAATACAGGATATCTATAGGTCTCCCACTAATCCTTAATACAGGATATCTATAGGTCTCCCACTAATCCTTAATACAGGATATCTATAGGTCTCCCACTAATCCTTAATACAGGATATCTATATCTCTCCCACTAATCCTTTATACAGGATATCTATAGGTCTCCCACTAATCCTTAATACAGGATATCTATACTAATCCTTTATACAGGATATCTATAGGTCTCCCACTAATCCTTAATACAGGATATCTATAGGTCTCCCACTAATCCTTAATACAGGATATATATAGGTCTCCCACTAATCCTTAATACAGGATATCTATAGGTCTCCCACTAATCCTTAATACAGGATATATATAGGTCTCCCACTAATCCTTAATACAGGATATATATAGGTCTCCCACTAATCCTTAATACAGGATATCTATAGGTCTCCCACTAATCCTTAATACAGGATATATATAGGTCTCCCACTAATCCTTAATACAGGATATCTATAGGTCTCCCACTAATCCTTAATACAGGATATCTATAGGTCTCCCACTAATCCTTAACACAGGATATCTATATCTCTCCCACTAATCCTTTATACAGGATATCTATAGGTCTCCCACAAATCCTTAATACAGGATATATATAGGTCTCCCACTAATCCTTAATACAGGATATATATAGGTCTCCCACTAATCCTTAATACAGGATATCTATATCTCTCCCACTAATCCTTTATACAGGATATATATAGGTCTCCCACAAATCCTTAATACAGGATATATATAGGTCTCCCACTAATCCTTAATACAGGATATATATAGGTCTCCCACTAATCTTTAATACAGGATATATATAGGTCTCCCACTAATCCTTAATACAGGATATATATAGGTCTCCCACTAATCCTTAATACAGGATATCTATATGTCTCCCACTAATCCTTAATACAGGATATCTATATCTCTCCCACTAATCCTTAACACAGGATATCTATATCTCTCCCACTAATCCTTTATACAGGATATCTATAGGTCTCCCACAAATCCTTAATACAGGATATATATAGGTCTCCCACTAATCCTTAATACAGGATATCTATAGGTCTCCCACTAATCCTTTATACAGGATATATATAGGTCTCCCACTAATCCTTAATACAGGATATATATATCTCTCCCACTAATCCTTTATACAGGATATATATAGGTCTCCCACAAATCCTTAATACAGGATATATATAGGTCTCCCACTAATCCTTAATACAGGATATCTATATCTCTCCCACTAATCCTTAATACAGGATATCTATAGGTCTCCCACTAATCCTTAATACAGGATATCTATAGGTCTCCCACTAATCCTTAATACAGGATATATATAGGTCTCCCACTAATCCTTAATACAGGATATCTATAGGTCTCCCACTAATCCTTTATACAGGATATATATAGGTCTCCCACTAATCCTTAATACAGGATATCTATAGGTCTCCCACTAATCCTTTATACAGGATATATATAGGTCTCCCACTAATCCTTAATACAGGATATCTATAGGTCTCCCACTAATCCTAAATACAGGATATATATAGGTCTCCCACTAATCCTTAATACAGGATATCTATAGGTCTCCCACTAATCCTTTATACAGGATATATATAGGTCTCCCACTAATCCTTTATACAGGATATATATAGGTCTCCCACTAATCCTTAATACAGGATATATATAGGTCTCCCACTAATCCTTAATACAGGATATCTATATCTCTCCCACTAATCCTTAATACAGGATATCTATATCTCTCCCACTAATCCTTAATACAGGATATCTATATCTCTCCCACTAATCCTTAATACAGGATATCTATATCTCTCCCACTAATCCTTAATACAGGATATCTATATCTCCCACTAATCCACTAATCCTTAATACAGGATATCTGTAGGTCTCCCACTAATCCTTAATACATGATATCTATAGGTCTCCCACAAATCCTTAATACAGGATATCTATAGGTCTCCCACTAATCCTTAACACAGGATATCTATAGGTCTCCCACTAATCCTTAACACAGGATATCTATAGGTCTCCCACTAATCCTTAATACAGGATATATATAGGTCTCCCACTAATCCTTAACACAGGATATCTACAGTGCTTCCAATGAACCATTCATCCATGATATATATATATATTAATCCTCCATTTATCCTTACTACAAAATTTTCACAGATCTCTCATTGATACTCAAGATAACCACAAGTACGCCATTTTGTATCTTTGTTCAACAGAAAACCATGAAAAACCAATTAGATTATATAAGAAAAGATTTTATTATCATTATAAAAATATGCACATCTTAGATACAAATATGTTCATTGCTGCAATCTATCATGTATGGATGGTTATAGATATTAGTCGGAGATGGTGGAGAGATACTCCGTCTGATAAGTCAGGCTAAAACCAATAATTCCTGTTCTAGCTACAAATGAATCTCCCTTTGATCTGAAAATGAAATGACTATTACGAGAAGAAAACATCCATTTAATGACACATGTACTTAAAATAATCAAAGAAAAAAATCAAATATTGATCTAAGCGAATGATTATTATTTACAGAGAAATTTCTTTATTCTTTCATCGGTACATATATTTACATATGTATATCAATGATATTTACAGAAATAGGACAAATGTGAAATTTTCAAATCAAATGAAACCTATTTTTATTTGGTCAAACGTTTTGAAGTTCTTGGAATTTGTAAACATGTACATTGCTATTTATGTTGACTTCACTTAGTTACAGCAATCAATTATTATTATTATTTTATCCTTGTTTTAAAATTTATCATTATTTTTCATTTCCTTTCTAAAAAAAATTTTTCACAAAATACTGTATAAAAAAACTATATAACTTTGATACTTGGTTATAGGCTATTTATAGGACTGCTGCTGATACAGAAATGTACTCTGATATGTGGATAAGTCTAACACTGTTTTGTATATCTATCCTGGTAATATATCAACCTGATACATTTTTAACATTCAATAAATGTTTTTAAAACACTCCTAAAATCTGCATAATAATCAGATATACGTGTGACAAACATTCTTCTGAACAAAAATGAAATCTTGTTATCAACTTTCACTCAAAGAGTGTTAAAATTATTATGTATATTTCGTCATTAAATGTTGTAAAAATGATAATATTATTCTTGGTGATGTGTTTGCTTAGAAATTGTAGACAGAATCTAAGGACTTGTTTTTAAATCTATTTCCAATCACAATTACAACCAATCTTAAAAACAAAAGTTTGATCATCATTTTTATCATCATCAATCTTTGACAAAGGAAGACTGCAATCTTTATGGGATTAAAACTCAAATAAATGGACAAAAATCATCAACTTATTTAACATCTACTTTTCGTAGATTAAAATGAGGCTATTTACATAATGATTACCTGTGAGAATGACAGTGACATTGGTACATGGCACACTTTTGAGCTACTCTTTCATACCAACAAACATCCTACACAGATGTTCTACTGAGTCTATTTACAAATCTCCCTGTACAATATGCTTTACAATTCTATTTACAACTGTTTAAACAAAGGGGAAATTTTTCACTTCTTCCCAAATGTAATTGAAAATGTATGAAATGTTTTTTGAAAAAAAAAAAAACAGCCATCATACTGTTTTTTATTGCATTTTCAAGCACTACAGAGATTGATGTTACTTTTTTTCTAGGTTAACAAAATTAAAAAAAACAATGAAAGCAATAGGGAAAAGTATATGTTCTATTACAAAACAGAAGGAAAGTAAGTGAACAGAAATACAGTTATATCTGTCAAGTTTACTAGCGATAACAGCATATTGCAATTTCACTTCGGCAATCACTGGATGAAAATGTTGTACATGATGCAAAGATGGAGAAATAGCCATACAGCTGTATTGCTTACTGCAAGGCATTGCTTTTGTAAACCACTTCTGCACAGTGTTAACATAATCAATCTGATTATTTATCTGAATTCACTACGAATGTCAGCTCTGTAGATAGTGTTCGCCGCAGGATGTAAATATTTATACACTCGTAGAGGACGCCCCTGCTCCACCACTTTCTACTGGGTAGCCATCAGCGTCAAACTTGGAAGGCTCCCGCCTATATTCATCATCCATATCGCTGATGCGTTTCTTGTCCTTGCTGTTACTGCGCTCATAGCCTGATCTTTGGTAGGGCTCGTATGCCTTGTCGTCATCTTCAGGGTATCGATCATCGATATCACTGGGATACTTATCATCAGGGTCATAATCACGTCGGTCGTAATCCTGTTGGTCATAATCACGGCCGTCATCATGGTAGCGGTTGCCATCACGGTCATAGCCATCATCACGATCATAGCTATAACGGCGACCATCACGATCATATCCATCATCGTAATCATCATCGCGATAATAGTCTCGATCTTTGTTGTCATAGTCACGATCCCTATCATCATAATCTCGGTCATCATAATCACGATCTCGGTCGTCATAGTCACGATCTCGGTCGTCATAGTCACGATCTCTGTCGTCATCATAGCGACGGTCATCATAATCATCATCGTACTTCCTGTCATCAAAACCTCCATCATCTCCTTTGCGGACATCATCAAAGCTGAAACATTAAGAAATAAATCAACAAATTTGAAAAAACCAATGATATCTTGCAGAATATGTGAAAACATTCACATCAAAGAACAGGTAATTTGAAAAATCTGAACTTATACTTTGATTTTTCTGTTTTGGGTTATTTTCAAAATATGAATACTCTTTTACCATCTTATTCTGATAGTTTCTTGTAAATTGTTGGGACACATTGACTTTTTAAATGACCCAACTGAAAAGTGAACTACTAGAAATTCATGCACAAGTTTGATATCACATTTGAAATTCGAAAATTGAAAATTTACAAGTGATAATAAAATGCAATTTACATAACCAGTGAAAAGATATCCTTTTATTTTCAGATAAGGCATTACAGTGAGCTGAGTATAAGATAATGCTGTACTGTTACACATATAAATATTATAGTTGAAATTAACATGATACAAATGTGCGAAAATCCCTAACCTATCCATCCCCTTGCCCACCCCTACCCCCTCCTCCCCCTATTTTACTATTACACTTACTGTGTCTTTGTTGATTATAACTAATACTTGTACACAAATCAATCATACTCAACAGGAACAAAATTCATTATGATAAAAAATTTCATGCTGATAATGAGACAAGCATAATCAAACGACTCAGCTTAATTAATAAGTTACATTAACAACAAGAACACAAAAGATTCACTGTTATACATATATACAAATATTACTGGATTTTAAAAAGAGCCTTTATATCTATAGAACCTGGAAGCCTCTACAGTCGTGGAATAATACTAATATACAGCTGGGTTAATAGTTACTATTAATTAGCATGCAAACTGAGATTTACATCAATTAAACAAATCAAAACATTCTTATGTTTTAGTTTTTTTTGGGTTTTTTTTTAATGTTTTGAAACACACATCTGCTGGAACCAAAAAGAGTGGCGAATAACCTGTTAACAGATGTTTCCTAAATATTATCAAAAGACATCTACCCCAGTATACACCAACATCTACCTCAGTATGCACCAACATCTACCTCAGTATACACCAACATCTACCTCAGTATACACCAACATCTACCTCAGTATACACCAACATCTACCTCAGTATAACTATACACCAACATCTACCTCAGTATAACTATACACCAACATCTACCTCAGTATAACTATACACCAACATCTACCTCAGTATACACCAACATCTACCTCAGTATAACTATACACCAACATCTACCTCAGTATACACCAACATCTACCTCAGTATACACCAACATCTACCTCAGTATACACCAACATCTACCTCAGTATACACCAACATCTACCTCAGTATACACCAACATCTACCTCAGTATACACCAACATCTACCTCAGTATACACCAACATCTACCTCAGTATACACCAACATCTACCTCAGTATACACCAACATCTACCTCAGTATACACCAACATCTACCTCAGTATAACTATACGCCAATGTCTATATAAGACACCACTTAGTATTTCTCTACCCCAGTATACACCAACATCTACCTCAGACCTCAGTATACACCAACATCTACCCCAGTATACACCAACATCTACCTCAGTATACACCAACATCTATCTCAGTATACACCAACATCTATAACAATGAACATTCAACCTGACCTCAGTATACACCAACATCACTACAACTTCAGATAACACCAACATCAACTTCCTGATAACAGTATAACACTGACAACTTCTGATAACAATGAACATTCAACAATGACAACTTCCTGATATACATTCAACACTGACAACTTCCTGATAACAATGAACATTCAACACTGACAACTTCCTGATAACAGTAACTCATTAACACTGACAACTTCCTGATAACAATGATACATTCAACATCTACAACTTCTTGATAACAATGAACATTCAACACTGACAACGTCCTGATAACAATCAGTATACACCAACATCTACCTGATAACTATACACCAACAACACTGACAACTTCCTGATAACAATGAACATTCAACACTAACTTCCTGATAACAATGAACATTCAACACTGACAACTTCCTGATAACAATGAACATTCAACATCTGACCTTCAGTATACACCAACAACACTGACCTTCAGTATAACATTCAACACTGACAACTTCCTGATAACACCAACATCTACAACCCAGTATACACCAACACTGACAACTTCCTGATAACAATATACATTCAACATCTACTTCAGTATAACAATACACCAACATCTACAACTCAGTATAACTATACACCAACATCTACCTCAACTATAACATACACCAACATCTACAACTCAGATATACACCAACATCTATAACAATCAGTATACACTGACATCTATAACTCAGTATACACCAACATCTATCTCAGTATACACCAACATCTACCTCAGATAACTATACACCAACATCTATAACAGTATACACCAACATCTATAACTCAGTATACACCAACATCTACAATGTATACACCAACTTCTGATAACAATCAGTATACACTTCAAACATCTTCACCTCAGTATACACCAACATCAACCTCAGTATACACATTCAACATCTGACAACTTCCTGATAACAATGAACATTCAACACTGACAACTTCCTGATAACAATGAACATTCAACACTGACAACTTCCTGATAACAATGAGCATTCAACACTGACAACTTCCTGATAACAATGAGCATTCAACACTGACAACTTCCTGATAACAATGAGCATTCAACACTGACAACTTCCTGATAACAATGAACATTCAACACTGACAACTTCTTGATAACAATGCACATTCAACACTGACAACTTCCTGATAACAATGAACATTCAACACTGACAACTTCCTGATAACAATGACCATTCAACACTGACAACTTCCTGATAACAATGAGCATTCAACACTGACAACTTCCTGATAACAATGAGCATTCAACACTGACAACTTCCTGATAACAATGAACGTTCAACACTGACAACTTCCTGATAACAATGAGCATTCAACACTGACAACTTCCTGATAACAATGAACATTCAACACTGACAACTTCTTGATAACAATGCACATTCAACACTGACAACTTCCTGATAACAATGAACATTCAACACTGACAACTTCCTGATAACAATGACCATTCAACACTGACAACTTCCTGATAACAATGACCATTCAACACTGACAACTTCCTGATAACAATGAACATTCAACACTGACAACTTCCTGATAACAATGAACATTCAACACTGACAACTTCCTGATAACAATGAACATTCAACACTGACAACTTCCTGATAACAGTAACCATTCAACACTGACAACTTCCTGATAACAATAACCATTCAACACTGACAACTTCCTGATAACAATGAACATTCAACACTGACAACTTCCTGATAACAATGACCATTCAACACTGACAACTTCCTGATAACAATGACCATTCAACACTGACAACTTCCTGATAACAATGACCATTCAACACTGACAACTTCCTGATAACAATGACCATTCAACACTGACAACTTCCTGATAACAATGAACATTCAACACTGACAACTTCCTGATAACAATGACCATTCAACACTGACAACTTCCTGATAACAATGACCATTCAACACTGACAACTTCTTGATAACAATGAACATTCAACACTGACAACTTCCTGATAACAATGACCATTCAACAATGACCATTCAACACTGACAACTTCCTGATAACAATGACCATTCAACACTGACAACTTCCTGATAACAATAAACATTCAAATATGAATAGAGAGAGAAATTTTCCTTAATTTTTCTAATCATTTAAATATTTTCTTTGTAATGCAGTTTTTGCTAGTGTTGTCTCACTTTGGTAATTTTTGTGGATTGCTGTTGTTGCGTTGAGTATACAAATCACTGAAAAAACAAACAACACTGATGATAAAATAAACAGCTTTCACATGCAAGCATATTCTAAGGGAAAGTCAGCTTTCATTTTTATAATGTTTCAGTATACAATATGGAAAATGTCTTTGTAAAATATCTCTAGTTTAAATTTGTTACAAAGTAATTTTTGGTGTGATCACCAGAATCTGAATGGGCTACTCAATTCATAAAGAATAGAATCCATCGTTTCCCACCCCCCACCACACCCCCAACCTCTCCCTGCCCCACCCCCCACCAACTTCCCTATTCCTCCCCCAACCCCTACTCAGTTGCATCACTCATGCAAATACGAACCCTGTGGTACTTGCTTTAACAGAACACATGAAGGGACAGATCCTATAACAATATTCCTGTACAAACTTCACTCAGTTGGGAATAATGCAATGATATGTTAAGGCGTTATTCCAGCTTTTTCCTATTTATCCTCGTGCAGTAAGACTGACGGGTCAACATTTAATTTCTCACTCAAAGTCAGAGGTGTCAGAGCTTACTACAGGACAATAAAACAGCATGCTTGAAATTCTATTGCACACCTGGATAAATACATTTAGATCATTGGTGTCAAAAACAGAAAATCTACAGTATGGAAGCTGTTATGTCCATCCTTGAGATTTATAAAAAAAATCTTTATTTTAAATGTTCAACAATTTTAAGGGTTACAGATTCGAAAAATGTTAGCATCACACTCGTTAAAAGCTCCAGACAAAATGTCAGCTACCAGTTACAAACAAAAGTGATTTCTAAAAAAAAACAACGCAACAAACTCCAGTGCAGCAGATGTTGTGTAACAGCGGGGTTTTTTTATTCATAACACAGGAAATTAAAAGTCACATTTCACTTTACTGATACTACAGGGAAACAACTGCTGGTGTGAACCACACACATTTGTTTTTTATAAATGGAAAGCAAACAATAAACATAACTATTAAATACCAAGCAAGCAGTAACTTTTAAAATTCACATTTTTTTCTACTGTGGATACTACAGTGTTGATAAGGACCAGGTTGACACAGCCATGACAGCCAAGCAGCAGTTTGGGGAAATTTTAGGAATAGAAAGCAGCAGGATTCACTACCCCCAAGCAACACAGCATTTAGAACCTCAGACATACTAAATCTGACAACTTTTTACTGGGACGTGTCATCAGCATGGAAACTCAAAAAGACAAAGTATGGAGTGGACACACACCACATCAACTCGTCACAGAAACTAGGACTGGTATGCCCTTCAGTAAAGAGTTCCAATGGCTTACAAGAATGTTTCAACCTAGCAGACAACAATTTGGCAGAGTCAAGGCAAACAGATGGGAAGAGTCGAGGTGATAGATGATGTTTTGAGTTTGTCAAACACTACAGTGGGTACATAGAGGATAATTATAGCAAAACCAGGGCTTCCTTCTTAAGATCAATAAGAATCTTTATCAATGGTGCTGTCCATTGATTTTAAAACTTAAAAGAGTTATACACACTAAAGTTTAAATGGTAAGTTATTTTCATTAATTAAATTTCAATCCTGGATAAATGAATTGAAACATTAAGATGACTATGACTGTATATTAACTGGAAGGAATAAAAACTGATAAAATTTAATGTTTTTGGTAAAAGATATGAAACGTGTTAGTAGTGTTGAACTAAGAAGCAGAAATCTTGAATGAGCAAGAGATTCGACAAACAGTTTTGACCATTGTCATGGGAAATTCGTACCTGTCACTAGGCTCCAATCTACGCCTGTATGGAGGAAGGAAAAATGCCAGTTAATGTTTAATCTTCCGAGTATATTTCAATGATTTCTCTGAAATCTTTTCATTGAAATAATAAATGTCTGCCGTATGTATTTAACTTGGAAGCTGCAGATGCAATTCCAGGTTTAGTATACACAAGCATAGTACAAAATCCTGTTTTTATTACAATTTTGCCAAACGTAATCAAGAAAAAGTGAAAGCATTTTGTGTCATAAGGTAACATGTACATAATTCTCCGACTGTAACAATACTAAGTAAAATGGATTGAAATTGAAAACAAAAAAATAAGAAGCTGTCTTCATATAACTGCTGAGGTCACTCTTTGCTCAATGTTTTGCAGTGACTCTTTACTGAAGTTCCTTAAAATAGAATATTCTAGAAAGCTTTGTAATAAGAAATTACATATGGCTCTTTTGGTGAATTTGCCCCGACAAGAAAATCATTTTGGTAAATACCAATATTCACATTCTAGTTCAAATTTTGTGGGGCAGACATTGAAAATATCACTAGTATGCAGTGAAGATTCCCTATTCCATATGAGCCAATACAAAACCTCAATACGCAAGAGAAGGTGAAAGTTTAAATTCATGTGTTATTACAAGTTTCTATGGTTGTCTCAAAATATTCATCCAAGTTCGAATCTTTTGTAATTATATACATGTCACCTTTTATTCTTTTTACACTTGTTAGTTCATTGGCTTAAATAAGATGCTGTAGATTAAACTTGCCCTTGAGTATTTGTTTGAACAAAAACTAGTAACATCCATATGTTTTATCTATGATCTGGGACATTTGGGACAGGAATATGGAGAGTTAATCCACAATCTAATTTAACAATTATTTGAACCTATTATTAGGAAGCAGCTAAGCATAGATATTTAAAAAACTTTCATTGAAGAAAAAGAATATGAAAAAAAGAACTTCTGAAATCCAATATGATGATGACAAATGATGTGTACATACCAGCCATGAAGAAACTACAACCACATAGATCTAATGATCATACAACAGCAGTAGAACAAATCAGAACTTATTTCACAAAAGAGTTCCAAAAAGGGGACTTAAAATTGCCATATCCTGAAAAGTAAGTTTTAAAAAAAAAAACCTTAAAAAACCAGGTGCTACAAGAAACTGGGAAAAAGGATATTTTTTTGGTAAGGGATTGAGGTTCTTAACATAAGCAGAACAAGCCGCACTGGTTGTATATTGGATGTCAGAAGTTCTTACCACTTAACAAAACATCTGTAGTCTACATCACCAATAGTCTAACATGCAATATTAGAATACATAATGCTGATGCATAAAGACAGAAACTGAAAATCTTAATTGTGACATTGTCCATTTGTATTTTGAATCAATACGTGTCGTTTGAATTTCAAATCATTCACCATATATCAGTAATGAGTACTAAAAATTGGAGGAAAAAAATTATCAAATATTTTCTCTCATGCATTTCCAAATTGCCCACATAATTAGTTTTTATTCTTTTTGTTAAATTATTTGTGATGCAGAAAATTAGTCTAAGTCTATAACTACATATCAGTGTACAATATGAACCATCAAACAGAACAGTAAAGCATATCTACATGTAACTGCAGAGGCTTCCAGGAACACTGGGTGAGGTATCGGAGAAATCCAGATTTACTGGAATCTCTTAAACTTTTCAGTAAGTAACAAAACTCAGATAGTGCTTGAACTTAAAAGTGTCCTTGACCATGAAGGAGATCTTTACATTTAAATAATACAAAAGCACATCATGATACAAGTTTGTTAAGAATATTCAACTGAGGACGCCCTAACACATAATTAGAAAACACCAACAATCACAGTCAAACTCTGATGAGTTGAAAGTTTCTTTCTTTTTTTCTTTTTTAAAGAGGGTTAATTTCACAGCCCTGTAAACAACATAAATTAAAATGCTGAAAGTAATCATTAAAATTAATGTATAACAAATATTAAACATAAAAGAATATAGAATTAAACATTAACAGAAACAATGATTAGAAACCTACCTTTCTTTATAGTAATCATTGGAATGTCCTCGTGGTTCACCTTCCCTCGGGTACATTCGTGATTTATCTGGTTTAGCTGAAAGGAACATAGATAAAATTTTTGAAAAAATTGAAAGGTTTTACTCTTGCACCTGTAACAAGGCCATACAAGAGGACTGATCTAATGTTACATGTCTTATTGTATACAACAAAAAATAAAATTTCTTGTATCTTGTACACTAGTATCTAGAATGACTAAACTATCAATTAATAATATAAATCGAGATACGAAACATGTCAACAACTTGATGCACAAATAAATCATGAATCAGGAAGGAGCTGTTTGTGTTGTCTTCACTGTCGACCTACACTCTACTCTTTCTTAGTGAGGACTTGATATACTTTTTGTATCAACGGCAGTTCCCGGAAGAATTTACCGAATGTCATCGATTGTGGGACGTTGTGTCTCCACTCCCCAGTATTGGGCAATAAATTCAAGCCAAGTCAATCAATCGATCTGTTACTCGAGATTGTTTCAAAAGAAAGTGAAAGCAAATGCTTTATCACTTGCCTGTAAGTTCACATTCTTACATTACAATCACAAGTCATTGTCACCTGGGCTGACTACAGAAGGACAGCAGACCTTACCTCTGTATTTCTCTTCCATTCTCTCTTGGGCCTGCCTTCTACAGAAGACAATGAGGGCGGCAATCGCAATGATAATGAGAAGGGCAAGCATCATTCCTATAAACCACCCAAAGTTGGCTCCTAAATTATAAGCAGCAGCTGAAATAAAAAATATTTACGAAATCAGAAGCTCGCTTATCAAGATGGTTCAAGTATAAACATGTAGGTATTTTTTCCTTGTTTGGTTGAGATCATAAATAAGAAAAACACACTCACACTAAATATATCGGAAAAAACGTTATGTAATGACTTGTTGTTTGAGGTGGAAAAAAAACTTAAGGCAGAAGTTGTGAAAAACATGAAAAATTATGCCAGTATTTGAGGGTTATTCAGGTTAAATATTGTTGGAAAAATGGCAGACAATTTACAGTTATTTCTGATAACAAGTTTAAGAACAGTTCATTCAGTTTCCAACAATACTTAATCAAGCATACCTATTCCAGTAGTGGACACATATTGGGTTCCGCTGGTAGATCGGGACTTTCCATTGGTGACGGCCAAGCGGACCTCGTACTTAGTACCTCCTTCAAGGTTGGCCACACCCTTCCAGTTGTTGGAAACTTCATCTGTTGTCTGTTGCCAATCGGAGGCGCCTAACGGAAAGCAAGGTAGCATAGATTCAGTCTGGTCAGACAAAGCACAATTATTAACTTACACTGAGGTGGACAGAATGATCTCTCAACCCAAAATATATATCATTTTAAGAATGCTTGGGGTTGTCTTATCATTCTGTGCCTCTGCTGAAAATCTAGGTAATATTACAGATAGTTCAAGTCTGATATCACATTAGGGCAGGTTATCAATATCATTTGTGGTAACGAATCTTGAAAACAAAAAACAAGAAAATTTCACTATTGTCGTTTTTTGAGTTTGAAATTTTTATGTTTACTAAGCATGGAAATTTTGGAATAATAAATCCAATAGTTTTTATCCTTTAATTTTCTGGGGTTTTTTTTCTTTTTCTTTTTTTTTTGTGGATTTCTTTTCCTCTTTACATCTTTGCATAAATTCCCAGTCAGCAGTGTATCTTTTCTTTGTTACTTACCATCTTTCCGGAACTCGACATACACCACGGTCCCTGCTTTTGATGTAATAACATTGTTCCAAGTAACATTAAAGAATGTCTCATTGACATTTTTGACATTGAAGGAGGGAACAACTTGGGCTGAAATGACACAACAAAGAAATATTTATACAACACAGTCCAACTAAAATGAACTTTACCTAGAATATTCACCTCAAGGTTAAACTGCTAGGTATAATTTACCTGTTAATTGTTGAGCTATTGAGAACAGACCAACACATATATCTATAAATCCCATATCTACACAGACTCTCTCTTTATCAGTCTTACCAAGGGAGGCAGGGTTTAATGGTCATCCTTTCTTGCTTAAATGCCATATTTGCACACCCCTGTAAATTTTAAGACTTATTTTTCCAACAATTTTCTACTTTCAGCTAATCTTTAATTAACTGAACTTATATTTATGATCATCTCCAATAAAAGACTTTTTTTCAAATTCTAATTACTTCCATGTTCATCTGTCCTGTGTTCAGACAAGTGATATAAAAATGAAATGATGTACATATGGCTGACAGATCTTACATCACCAGTGTAAAATTAATCTATACATACAGCCTGCTGCAGCAGTGGTAACCTCGATGAAGTAATCCTCTCCACGTCCCATCGTTGTTCGTCCCCAGATGTGTACACGGTACTTCTGTTTAGCCACCAGGCCATTCAGTACCGTTCTGTTTGTGTATGGGTCGTTGATTTGGGGGACACGGTCTTGCATCTTTCCTAGATCCAGGCCACCAACTACAACACGCATTCCTCAAAATAAAACTCTCTGGCATCCCCACCTTTAATATGACTTTAATCCCATGACACATAAATATGATGTACCGGTTGATGACCCTAATGACCTTTTATGTATTGATGGGCCATTAAGATTCTTATAATAATAATGATAATATTACTGAAGATGTGAAAAAAATACAGCCACTAGTCTATTTTCCAAATCATTTGGAAATTTCTGAAATTCAAACTTTGATCCAAGTATACAAGATTTCAGTTCAGCTACATACAAGTACAAATTTGGCATCATCATCCAAAAGCCCCCATTATAACAGGATTATATAGAACAATTTCAATACTTTTATAAGGAAGTGAATTCATATTGTCATTGAACTGGTGGAGGAAAATATAGTTAGTAATTAAAAATAATTCAACTTTCTCAACTTCTCACAGTAAAAAATTGTGTCACTGCAGTCCACATGTAGTGTTTTATGCTATCTTAATTGAGATTCGACAGAACTAGAAACCTTTCCTGAATTAATGTGTTAGAGAGTACTTACTTGTTTGGTAACCAATATCGTATCCAATAATAAGACCATTTCTATCTGTCTCATCTGGTTGTTCCCATGACAACATGACAAAGTTGCTACCTATTTGCGACACAGTGAAGAATCGAACTGGGCCAGGCACTAAAAATGGAATATCGTCAGATTAAAACAAACCTACTGACACTGAAAGTCACTGTTGTCAAGCCCTTCTATTTTCCACCATTTTTAGAGGGTAAAAAGTTTAATAGAGAATTCCAAATAGTAATGATTGTCTTTAAAATACTAAATGAGAATGTGATTTTTCAAGATTCTGAAGACAAAATTTGATACATTAAAAATTTTGACAGCATTACTTTGAAATAAGTGGATATAGTGCGATATATATAAGTCAGACTGTGAATTCTTACCTCCAGGAAGAGTCTGTAGTGAGATAACGGCACTCGGTGGGCTTACATAATATGTATTCATAACAACAATCTGGGCCTCCATGTAAGTGTAGGGCTGAAGGTCATCTACAGTGTAGGTCAAGGTCGTCACAGCCCTTTTTCTCCGGTTCCCATATTTCAGTTTAATTTGAGACTTCAGCACCTCTCGCTCCCGGAATGTTTCTGACTTTGCACCTCGTCTCCAAAACTGAATCTACAAGTTCAAATAGTAAAAATATTTTTCGCATCAATTCAGGTTGTGATAATTACAAGTCATAACTGATAAGTTCTTCACAAATTTAACACAACAAACTGACAGGAGAATGACAATGAATAGTTATGGCAATATCTGAGCGAACGATGATATTGGCTATAAATAGAAACTGACCCCTGCTACTCCTGGAGACAAACATTGGCTATTGTTGGATTTTGAAAATTGTTATTATTATCAACTAACCTTGACCATAGCTGGAAACTGACCTTGGCCATTGAGATTGACCTTGGCTTTTTTTAATAGCTGAATTTGATAATTGTTCTAAACTGACCTTGAAACCCTGGAAGAATCCTCTAATTGGAGTGTTGGGGGTGACGTTGTTGTAGTTCATATCCCAGTCCCATGTAAACACAGCGGCATTGTCTGTCACTTCCTCCACAGCAAAGTTACTTACAGTAATCTGGGGAACTGGAAAAAATACAGAGGAAACTTTCTTAACAATCAATATATTAAATGTAAAGTTGTGATATTTTGTCATTTTTTCAGAATTTTAAAATTTTGCTTCACTTTATAAAAGGAATGAATAAAAAATATGTATTTTTCACATAAATTAAAAAACAGACTGGGTAAATTCTCTTTTAATTTTATTTTCAATGTTTTGCTGGGTTTTTTTTTTTTTGGGGGGGGGGGGGGGGGGGGGTTTATAAGAAAACCTTTTACAGAAAATCAAGTTTAACAATTTTTCTAAGATCAAAACTTTCTATAGAATTTGAACTGTTCCATTATGTATCTGCTGTAGAAGTTTTTCCCTTGATCTTTTAATCCAGAAGTGATAACCAATGATATATAGATAAGTTTCAATATTTAATAAAGAAAACTTATATATCAGTAAACAGAACTTACTGTCCTCTGCGGAATAGCCTTTGTAAGTGACTAGTGGAGCGTTAGATTCTCCGATCTCATTCTTCGCCTTCACTGTAATGTCGTACGGAACAAATATGTCGTTTGTTGCAATGTCCTTTCGGGTAATGGTGTAATTATTGATGTTGGACGTATGTATAGTGATACCATCTTTTATAACGGTCAGAATGTATTCAAATTTATCACCAGCTTGCTGAATCGGAGGCATGGGCTGTTGGAGAGAAGACAAGGCTGTAAATTTTCGCAATTTTACTTTCAATGATTCATCTGCTGGTATATATTGCTAATTCTACAGAAATAGATTTCTATTTTTCTCCCATCATCTTATCATTGGCCACCATTTTTTCTTGACTTGCAAGGAAATGAACAGAAAGGCATTCAGTTGCTAATGAAAAAACGGTCCCAATTACATGTATGTGTTTTTATGGTAATAGATGTCATTGTTCTAACATTTGAATCCGAATTCAGAGCAATATTAAATGTAGATTATTTTGTGTTTTGGAAATTTTCACCAAAAGTTTTAGATTACAGAAGAATTACATTGGCTTAGTAATTAACATCAACAATTCTAAACATTATATTTAACTTAGTTACAATAACTGAAGTGTTTTCTGTTTCATTTTCCCAAAACAAGATGTTTTGATCCGGGGGCATAATAATGAATTTTGTGATACTTACCGTCCATTCAACCACCAGGAAATTCCTCAAGTCTCCAATAGTACGAACATTGCCAGGGTTTTTACTGGGTCTCGTAGGATTAGTAGTACATCTGTCCCCAGTATGAGCACTTGGTTCGCTCTGACCTCTCTTGTTAAATGATAAAACACGGAATGTGTAAACAACATTTGGAGCAATGCTTAAGGTGGCTTTAGTTTGAGTGGATCCTACCTTCTGAGCGTAGGTCCACTTATCGGGTGTGAAGGTCGTGTTGTACTCCACCACGAAGTACTGGACTGGTGCATTGTTAGAGGCTCCTTTTGTCCAGGTGACCTCTGCTTTGTCCTGGAGGCACTTCACTAATGTTACATCAACTGGAGGATCAGGTTTGTCTAAAAACACGAAAATATGACTTGTTGAAAATCTGTTTGAAATGAATTTTTTCAAATGCTCGCAGTTCACATCTACAGCAAAATACAAACATATTGTAACAAAAACAAGTCTTTTGTGACAGCAATAATCCAACTTTTCAAAAACATTGTTTATTTAAAAAGAATTTTAATTTTTTATTACTTCATCTAATAATTAAAACACCAATAATATTATCGGTAAGAAAATGGTTTCTGACTCACTGAAAAACTGTTTAATATCTTCAATACAACTAGTTACCTTTAACTGTCAAAATGGCTGAAGCTGTTGCCACCGATAGGCTATCTTGGACAACACAAGTGTAGAAGCCGGAATCCCTGCTGATTGTACCACTGATAGTTAACGAGTTGTCTTGGAAATTCTGAGTCATACGTTGATCATTTGTAGTGATATTCTTTCCATCTTTCTGCCAGGTGACACCCAGGTTCAGTACTTCATTAAAATCAGTAGTTCCGGTGCAGGTGAATTTTGCGTCGGATCCAGCATTCACTTCAAGATCACCTGGCTTAGACTCAATACGGGCTTTCCCTGGAAAAAAAAAATAGATCTCTTAATTGTGAGCTTTGAACGTTTACCTTATAGATATTTGAGATCGTGATCATACGCTCCCGTTTCTCAAGTGACATGCCATATATAATGAGGCCAAATTTCAAATAATTTTACTAGTTTTTCATGGGAAATTTTTATTCGACCATTAGGCCTTATTAAGGCTTAATATACATAGTCATAAAAGTATCAGATGTGAACAATTTATATATCCGCAAAAGAGAAAAAAAATTTTCACTGTTTTGATAACTTGCCACTTTTTGTAACACGAATAAATGAACTGTCTTTTCTATACAAATGTAGATCACAAACAAAGCGATGAATATCAAAGCTTTCAAAACATGCCTGCAATGTGTCAACTATTGAAACACAAAAAACCTTTCTTGAAAACAACTTACTTACGGTACCTTGCGTATTTGGTCCAGACAAAAAATCGCGAAACTTCATAACAGCAAAATTATACAACTATGCACGAGGATTAAATTATTCATAGATACAAAATCATAAATTTGTATAAAAAGTGTTTATGATATTGAATCATTTATAGATACAAAATTACATAAACAAAACCGTAACTATTGAAAATATGAAATTATTTATAGACACAACAGAACAGTAAGTATTCATGAACTATTCCATATACAAATTTATCTTAACAAAACCATAAGTATTGACCATATTGAATTATTTATATATACAAAATTATATATATAGAACAGTAACTATTCAAATGTTTAAAATATTTATAGATTTATAGATATTAAGTGATATGAATAGAACAAGTATTTATGATATTAAATTATTTATTGATACGAAATTAAATAAACACAACAGTAACTATTTAAAGAATTAAAATATCTATAGAGTTATAGATATGAAATGATATAAATTGAATTGCGACTTGTGTTATATTGAGTTATTTATAGATATGAAATATAGATATAAATATAAAATCTATCAAGAATTGCAACTATTGACGATATTGAAATATTTATAGATATGAAATTATATTAAAATAGAACTGTAACTATTGACGATATTGAAATATTTAGAGATATGAAATTATATTAAAATAGAACTGTAACTATTGACGATATTGAAATATTTAGAGATATGAAATTATATTAAAATAGAACTGTAACTATTGACGATATTGAAATAATTAGAGATATGAAATTATATTAAAATAGAACTGTAACTATTGACAATACTTATTTCATGGATACCACAATATACAGTTAACCTCTTGTCAGTGCAATTAGTTCAAATACATGACTTTTACAAATCCTTCCAATTTTTGTTTCACTTACATTTTGAAACGTTTGATCACGTTATGAAATTACATGTTAATCAAGGTATGACCAGGATATTAGTGTCACAATAATCCCTCTATGTGATCAGTACTCACATCAACAAAAAAAGACCAGGAATCAAAACCTAATTGACCATCATAAGCACCTGATACTGCCAGATCATAACAGATATGGCACTTAATTAGCATTGATGCAGTGAGTTTTCTTTCATGTTCATATTCTAATTTATTTTCACAAGCATAATTTCAAATAATTTGAACGGGTTCAACCATACTTATTTAATTTTGTTCGTACTGACTGAAGGTTTACTGTAAACAGAGCTAATACGGTTTAAAGCATAAAGTTATTTGTAGATAGGATATTGGATCAACTTACTGCGTACAGTCAGTGCTCCAGAGGCCTCCACAAAACCATAGGTATTGTTAGCTGTGCATCGGTACAAACCCGCGTCAGACAGCACCACACTCTAATAACAGAAGATCACACCAACGTAGACTGTGGTGTACAATTTTCCCGTCATTATCTAAAACTGCATTTGTATTTATGTAAATACTGAGCTTTTGTGGTAAGAATATTTAGGATGGAAAACTGTATATAGTATATACATACTTCAATATGGAGGTCCCCGTTTGGTCTGATCTGGTATCGACCCCCAGTGATCTGTTGGCCCTCTTTGTACCAGGTGATAATGGGGTCCGGCTTGCCACTCGTCTGACAGGTCAGGTCTACAGAATTGCTCTCTGCTACTTTAGCATTCTCGGCGGGGCGTTTTACAAATTGTGGTGCTTCTCCTGAACAAATGAAAAAAAAATCGTTACTTTCTGGTTTGTTAAAAAGTTCTAAATTCTGTCCTTTGGTAATGGAAATTGTGGTCTTTGATATGAATCAGGCATGTCAACAAGTGAGAATGTACAGTAAATATAACCAGTACAATAACACTAACATGGCAATGCCTAATGTGAAGACTGACACAACTTGTTTGGGACACAAAGATACATTATAAAAACATTGAAATATTTACAGGAGAGATTGAGACACTTGCTCTGAGCACAAAGACACTAATTTGGAACACTGAGACACTTGCTGGGAACATATATACATTAACTTGAAACATGTAGACACTTCTTAGAAACACATGGACACTAACTTAGAACATTGAGACACTAACTTAGAACATTGAGACACTTACCAATGAACATTTATGGAAACTCTGAGACACTATGTGGAATTTCAGGATGTTTGAATCATTGAGATCACAGTAATATTTAATGGGACACTTACTGAGTACATTGAGGTACACATCTGCAAACACGTAACCGTGGCTATTGGAACAGTTACACTGAATGACAAAAACATCGGTCAGTTTGAGGTCATCAATAGTCACGTTCATGTCATTTGGCTTCATGAATCGGTTAGACAATACAGTATCGTCAGTTGATTCTGAAAAGAAGTTCATAGAAATTAATTCACTTTCTCACAAGTTGTATGGAGTAGATTTTAAAGATTTTATTATCATACATACAAATGGCATAATTAAAATCACCATAGTTTTCTTAACATTACATTGAAGTGTGTCCTGAACGTTGCAAAGAATTATAAACTTTCGTGGATGGCTTACCATCTATAGGGACACCGTTGACAAACCATTCTGTCTTAGGTGTGGGGACCCCATCAGCCTTACAAAGGAACGTAGCTGAGGCTCCTTCACTCGTCTCAATGTCTTCTGGCTTCTGAACCCAGTAAGGTTTAGCTGTATTCAGAGGATGGGTAAAAGTGATACATAATATCAAGTGAATTCGTAGTACAATAACATAACAGTGATGAAATGCACATGTTTACTTATCACCTAGTGCATTGTAGAATAACATATGTCGTAATGAATCAAAAGGTAATAACTTCCCGCAATACCTCCCTGCCTGGTAATAAGCCCATCCATGAATAACGTTATTTAGAAAAAAATAAAACCAATTCTATTTATTCATAATAGGATAACCCCACATCCCGACTGAGTCAGACGTCACGTTTTAACTCTCTAGACTTAATGCAGAATTTTCACTTATTTACAACACACAATTAGCAAGAGAAAACCAGTTGCACTAAATAATTTCGGCTATCACTCACACTGTATAGAGAGGTCAATGATTCTGTTGGCTTTCTGGCCCTGGGTGTTTGTCCCGTAACATTCATATTTTCCTTCATCAGAATTGCTTAAAGATTGTATGGTGATTTCCTGTCCGCCCTGAGATATTCCAACATCTGGTGGGAGTTGACCGTTGGTCTTCTGCCAGAAAACCTCTGGAGTTGGACTAGGGAAAAGATTAGAAGTACATGCCGTGAGATTCAAACTGTATAAGAATGATAGCTAATCACAGAACAATACTAAACACAGGAAGAAATAACCTGTCAGTGTCATTGTTCTTGTAGTTAGTCAAGGTCATTCAAGGTTATCTATTTCAATGGTTGGAATTTTTGAATCCAACAATCAAAGCAAAAAGAACTTATAAAGAAAAATATGAAAACCATCTGTTGTTTTCTCTACCTTTTTTAATTTTGAAAGATTTTTTCCAACAACTTTATTCAATACTTGAGAGTTACAGGCCTTGAGAATGACATTTCAAACAGTATTATCAGTACAAATAAACTTTGTATGGTGATGGTGCAGTATCTTAGACTGACACTGTAGGTATGGTTTTTTGGTACTGTCAGTTGAATGCAAATCACATTCAAATAATTTCTTTTTCCTCAAATAATCGTCATTAATTATATTGTGCTGCTTCAATTATCATATTGACATCATCATTACTTGACAAAATGCTCCCAACAAGAGCTTATCAAACAGCCCAAAACAACATTAAATGATTTTATGTATAAGACTTGTAATCTTCATACTTACTTTCCAGCAAAGATACATTTCATCTTAAATTTTTCGCCCACCAGACCAAAATGGTCACTAGGTGTAGCCCACTGGTAGGTAGGACCAATCTTCAACTCTGCGGCTGTAAATATGTGAATAATTTGTGCAATTAAAGCAATCCGCTGTGACCATCATGGATATAGGTCTTAGAGAGATATGTCTATATGAAGAACATGTTTGGATAAAAAATAGAATAAATTATTTAAATGAAAAAAAGTTTCTTCTTTCAAGCAAAGACGTTATATATGTATATTAATTTGATCATCAAATTTCATGACGTGAAAGTAGAATGGAAAGTGAGGTTGCTACTTCTTTAAATATCATTTTCTAAATGTCTAAATATTCAGATCATAGGTTTTCTCTAATAATTTTCACTTTTTCTTTCTCCAATCTGAATTCTATATTGTAGTTTGCAATAATTTTTTTAAACCCGCTGCTAAAACTGTTGAATAATCCCTTCTGTATGAACTTTTTACAAGATGTATTACTTCTTATCAAACATTTCATGTTGTTACTGCTACGAGACTGTGGTAGCCTTACTTCCAGTTGGTATGATGTAATGCCCGTGGTCAAATTCGTTGTGTCTCATGAAGTAGTTGATAGCCATACAAACATAGGCTTTTCCCTCCTGGTAATCCTTTGCTTTTACATTTGTGATGTGAAGACGCGCTGAAAAATACATTTTCAATATTTATTACCCTGTGATCAGCGATTATCTTTTTTGAAGCAAAATCCTCTTACAAGTTACATATGTGAGAAACATAATTCCAGATCAGTTCAAATACTATCTCAGAAAACAGACTTCTCTTCAAATCAGTCACCATTGTTGTTAGTAGATGTTCTACCAAAATAGGATCTTGGCAATTTCACTGTTCAAAAGACTTATTTTATCGGTTTGTGATTTAAATCTACCAATCAGAAATATTCTGGAAATACCATTAACAATGCAGTCAGACAAAGCTATATCAGGGAATCCACCTATTTTGTTTCGCATTTAAAGTGAGCGAAAAGTGTGTAAATTTAGCTTGTTGTATTTTAGTGATGTTTTCCTTACATATATAAACTCTGTATGTTACCATGGTAATACGTAACAACATTATATTCAATCTGATACCACTTATGAAAATAAACTCACCATCCAGGCAAACCACTATCACTAAATGCCTGCCCTGTAACACCTGTGTAAATAAATCCCTAGTTTCTTACCTTCAAGATCCATGGTAACTCGGTTGTTGTAGTTGATGGCCTCATTTCGCCCGGAGCTGCCCTTTAACACCCATTCTACCTGAGCCTTTGGATAACTTGTTGGTGGGATACACTCTAGGGTCAAAGGTGTACCCAGCTGTGGACGATGATACTCATTGTCTCCAGTTGGAAACTCGTCCAGTTTACCTTCACGGAGATTCACATGGTTCGTCATAGATTTCCCAAATTCGTTTTCAGCAAAACATTGGAAAATACCCTCGTCCTTATCTTCTGGACTGTTTATTACAATTGTTCCTGAGTTGGCCAGCTGGACCATACGATTGTCATTACCACTAGGATTGAAGTCTTTTCCATTCTTCTTCCATGTATATCTACCAAAATGTAAATCAATTTATCAATCGACTTCCAGTAATTAATTACGCAAGCAAGGATATTTGTTAAAATTACTGTGTTTTTTTATGCCAAAAAGCAAACATGTTGTATCCTACTGTGAAAAACAAATTACAAGTCACATGCTACATAAGACCTTCAGATGACCTTGCAATGAAGTGCTAAGAAATATCTTTTAAAGTACCACTCATAAATTTCACAACAATTGTGAAATTTGTGAAACAATTGAAATCTCCGTACTGTTAGAAACTTTGAAGACCCAAAGATATCTGTAGCGCTATAAGATACAAACACACCCTATAAAACTTGTATGATGTTCAGCTTCCTACACATGACCTTGACATACTTCTGATACTTACATGACCTTGGGATAACCATCCCCAACACAAGGCATCATCACTGTCTCCCCAGGCTTGAAGTAGATATCTTTGTCTGGTTCTATATAAATACCTGGTGGACGATTTGGAACTGTTGACAACAAAAATAAGGAATAAATATTAAGCAAACGCATTGACACAGCATGTACAGGTGCGAGATCGGTGACCAGCATAATATTAGTGCCTAACAACTTTTAAATCAACAAATTGTACAAGATGTTGCAAGTGGGTTGATTTAATTGTGTCCTATTAACATCCAGGGCACTTTATGGACTAGCCAAGTTTGGTTGGTAGAGGAAAGCTGGTATTCCTGTAGAAAAAACACTGACCTGTGGCCAGTACCTGACGACTGCCACACACAAGCCTCAAACCCATGACCCAGAGGTGGAGGGTTTGTGATAAAGATGTTTCATAAGGTTACAGCTACTTTAAGGACTCAAGCTAGGGTGTAAACAAAAAACCAAGTTTGTTTTCAAACTGAAATAAGATAACCATTTCAGCATAATGTTGTTATTCAGAATCAATATTTTGTATTAAGAGCATCAGCTATCAGATTTACATTTTTGTTCCAGGTTTTAATACCTGTGAAACTGAGGGTGGGTTTAAGTGCTAGTCCCCGACTAGAAATAATTGAATTATTTGGATAATCTGTACAACAATGAATTATCTCCTCCATACAAACATATACTGCATTACACTTACTTGCTATAACTGCTGTACAACATAGAAATGTTAAAACCCCTATCCGGGCTACGGTTTTCTCCATCTTGGCAGGGATCTAATTTTTGTACCTGTATAAGAAAAAAAGTGAAATGATAACCATCTGTAGCACACATGCTGTTTATAGAGGTATACCGTTATGCCTTTTGTAAACAGTAACATAATCAGTTTAGGGGAGGGGGTGGGGATCATGTGGATATGCACAGATGTGTTTTGTTCAAATTACATATATGTTTGATGATTGTTTCTGTGTGTTGTTTGTGTCTGTGTGTTGTTTGTGTCTGTGTGTTGTTTGTTTCTGTGTGTTGTTTGTGTCTGTGTGTTGTTTGTGTCTGTGTGTTGTTTGTTTCTGTGTGTTGTTTGTTTCTGTGTGTTGTTTGTTTCTGTGTGTTGATTGTGTCTGTGTGTTGATTGTGTCTGTGTGTTGTTTGTTTCTGTGTGTTGATTGTTTCTGTGTGTTGTTTGTGTCTGTGTGTTGTTTGTGTCTGTGTGCTGTTTGTTTCTGTGTGTTGATTGTGTCTGTGTGTTGTTTGCTTCTGTGTGTTGTTTGTTTCTGTGTGTTATTTGTTTCTGTGTGTTGATTGTGTCTGTGTGTTGATTGTTTCTGTGTGTTGTTTGCTTCTGTGTGTTGTTTGTTTCTGTGTGTTTATTGTTTCTGTGTGTTGTTTGTTTCTGTGTGTTGTTTGGTTCTGTGTGTTGTCTGTGTGTTGATTGTTTCTGTGTGTTGTTTGTTTCTGTGTGTTGATTGTTTCTGTGTGTTGTTTGTTTCTGTGTGTTGTTTGTTTCTGTGTGTTGTTTGTGTCTGTGTGTTGATTGTGTCTGTGTGTTCATTGTGTCTGTGTGTTGATAGTGTCTGTGTGTTCATTGTGTCTGTGTGTTCATTGTTTCTGTGTGTTGATTGTTTCTGTGTGTTGTTTGTTTCTGTGTGTTGATTGTGTCTGTGTGTTGATTGTGTCTGTGTGCTGTTTGTTTCTGTGTGTTGTTTGTTTCTGTGTGTTGATTGTGTCTGTGTGTTGATTGTGTCTGTGTGCTGTTTGTTTCTGTGTGTTGTTTGTGTCTGTGTGTTGATTGTTTCTGTGTGTTGTCTGTGTGTTGATTGTTTCTGTGTGTTGTTTGTATCTGTGTGTTGTTTGTGTCTGTGTGCTGTTTGTTTCTGTGTGTTGATTGTGTCTGTGTGTTGTTTGCTTCTGTGTGTTGTTTGTTTCTGTGTGTTATTTGTTTCTGTGTGTTGTTTGTTTCTGTGTGTTGTTTGTTTCTGTGTGTTGTTTGGTTCTGTGTGTTGTCTGTGTGTTGATTGTTTCTGTGTGTTGTTTGTTTCTGTGTGTTGATTGTTTCTGTGTGTTGTTTGTTTCTGTGTGTTGATTGTGTCTGTGTGTTGATTGTGTCTGTGTGCTGTTTGTTTCTGTGTGTTGATTGTGTCTGTGTGTTGTTTGTTTCTGTGTGCTGTTTGGTTCTGTGTGTTGTCTGTGTGTTGATTGTTTCTGTGTGTTGTTTGTTTCTGTGTGTTGATTGTTTCTGTGTGTTGTTTGTTTCTGTGTGTTGATTGTGTCTGTGTGTTGATTGTGTCTGTGTGCTGTTTGTTTCTGTGTGTTGATTGTGTCTGTGTGTTGTTTGTTTCTGTGTGCTGTTTGTTTCTGTGTGCTGTTTGTTTCTGTGTGTTGTTTGGTTCTGTGTGTTGTCTGTGTGTTGTTTGTTTCTGTGTGTTGATTGTTTCTGTGTGTTGTTTGTTTCTGTGTGTTGTTTGTTTCTGTGTGTTGATTGTTTCTGTGTGTTGTTTGTGTCTGTGTGTTGTTTGTTTCTGTGTGTTGTTTGTGTCTGTGTGTTGTTTGTTTCTGTGTGTTGTTTGTGTCTGTGTGTTGATTGTTTCTGTGTGTTGTTTGTGTCTGTGTGTTGATTGTTTCTGTGTGTTGTTTGTTTCTGTGTGTTGATTGTGTCTGTGTGTTGATTGTTTCTGTGTGTTGTTTGTTTCTGTGTGTTGTTTGTGTCTGTGTGTTGTTTGTGTCTGTGTGTTGTTTGTTTCTGTGTGTTGTTTGTGTCTGTGTGTTGATTGTGTCTGTGTGTTGATTGTTTCTGTGTGTTGTTTGTTTCTGTGTGTTGTTTGTGTCTGTGTGTTGATTGTGTCTGTGTGTTGTTTGTTTCTGTGTGTTGATTGTGTCTGTGTGTTGTTTGTTTCTGTGTGTTGATTGTTTCTGTGTGTTGTTTGTTTCTGTGTGTTGTTTGTTTCTGTGTGTTGTTTGTGTCTGTGTGTTGATTGTGTCTGTGTGTTGTTTGTTTCTGTGTGTTGATTGTGTCTGTGTGTTGTTTGTTTCTGTGTGTTGATTGTTTCTGTGTGTTGTTTGTTTCTGTGTGTTGTTTGTTTCTGTGTGTTGATTGTGTCTGTGTGTTGTTTGTTTCTGTGTGTTGTTTGTTTCTGTGTGTTGATTGTGTTTGTGTGTTGTTTGTTTCTGTGTGTTGATTGTTTCTGTGTGTTGTTTGTTTCTGTGTGTTGTTTGTTTCTGTGTGTTGATTGTGTCTGTGTGTTGATTGTTTCTGTGTGTTGTTTGTGTCTGTGTGTTGATCGTTTCTGTGTGTTGTTTGTTTCTGTGTGTTGAGATTGTTTCTGAGTGTTGTTTGTTTCTGTGTGTTGTTTGTTTCTGTGTGTTGTTTGTGTCTGTGTGTTGTTTCTGTGTGTTGTTTGTTTCTGTGTGTTGTTTTAACAGGATGTTGCTCTGTTTTGATGCAAATGTTTCAAATTATAATGCTATGGAGTACCTAGTCGATCATTTATAGAAGTAACTAGTTGATTACTGATTATCCCTCCAACGCAGGACTATCATCTATATGTAGGGTTTTGCAAAACCCGAATATGGTAAACTTTGTTATAATTAAAGATAATTTAACAACACCTTCATTCACATCTACAATCTATAAAGTTTTCAGAGATATAGCTAAAAACAGCACTTCAGACAGGTATTTCGGTCGAGCAGCAGACTGTTCTGAACCAATCCGAAAACAATCAGATTGTCACATTTTGTGTATCAATTTTTCAATTAATACTCTAGTATGTTCAGTGACTATATTTTGAACATTTCACTAACACCTGGTTAACACTAACTAACCTTTGAGCAACTCGGGCCAGGTGGTCGGAAAATGGAATTAATGATCGACAATGAATAAATAACTGTTATTTGTATATGTAGCTGTCGTTTTCAAATAAAGTAAAAATACTGACCGTAATCATCTATTTTAAAAGCAGTACATCTCCTCTGATAACAATAACAAGGTGGGGTCTGGTTGTGTAGCACATATTAGTAACTAAACGTAGATTATCGTATCACACGTACGTGCTCAATCGCCCTTTGATTAATATTAGGTGTAACAAAATACTTTTAATCTCCATATACCATTCGTAGAATTAAACTTGAAAAGAAAAAACAGTAAACCCCTGTAGAAAAAGAAATGGCAACGATTAAATTCAAAACAATTTACCGGAAGTAACTTGCACAGGTGCGCGCTTTGCATTTACAGGTGCTTATACGTGAATTCCCTGAATTCAGTTGTATTAAATGCGTAATTTATTAAGTTTTGCACAAATATATCGATCAAAGGTTTGCAAACGAACAAATGTAACTGTTTACCTGTACACACCTGAGATTCCTCACCTGGCCTCCATTTTCAGGTCATCATCGTTACTCATTCCCCGTTCGAGTTTTTCCGACTGCTACCAACATTATATAGAACTTTCTAGATGTGTTCCGAAGAAGCGAACGCTGTAAATTCTCAGGTTATTAGATTTATCGAACTGTCTTAGGTAGCAGGGTCATACGATGATGAGAACTATTCCACGTGCTTATAGATTTTACGGTTATATACCGTCATCAATTTATAATAATAATCTGATGTATTGCCGTTTACCTATTTATCGAGCACAACTCATTTACAATACGTTGATTAACACATCATCCATGAGTGCGTTTCGGTTTTTTCTTACCTGGTGAATCCCATAATGACATTTTTCACAGGTGAATGCGGTGACTAATTATGATTCACAATGACATGCTGTGCGTGTTCTTGGTTTTGTAACACATCATTTTATTATTTCAGACTCAAAGATAAAGAAAATGCTACAAAGCTGAGCTGATTTTATTATTCATTTGCAATAAAAAGTATTCTTTAAAGAATAAAATGCAAGGCAGCGAAAAAACGAGATGACATTCAAAGTTATTTTTCATTACATTATTATAGTAAGCAAAACAGTGGACTTTACATACATTGTATATCCAAGCAGTATTAGTAATTTAAACAAGCAGCCGCTAATAGTGAATTAGAAACTAGAGTAAATATACATAACACAAAAAGACCAAGTTAACATACAGTAGAAGATAGAATTAAAAGGCTACATCAACAAGTGTTTCTTATTTATCTAGAATTTGTATTTAAGAGACAGAACCTGTAATTAAGTTAACAGAAAACAAAAGAAATATGAAGAAGACAAAAGTACCGTGAAACAACAACAAATTAAATGGTGGAAGCTGGAAAGTTAGCACAACTACATACTGGCTGTTCTAATGCGTAACAACATGCAAGAATCAACAGAATTGTAGGCAGCGTGTTCCCCGCCCGAGGCCTTGAAAGCGAAAATATACCTTTCTATACTCTGCAGTGGTATCCCTTTGAAAATTCTCCTGAAATTATTTAAAACAGTATTATGCTCCACAAAGTCATCGATAACATCTAATATTAGATCTGATATAAAACCATTCTTCTTTAACCATAATTTACAGTTTGCTTCTGTTGTAACAAATTGCTAATGATTTCTTCAACAATTACTACTTGCGGTGAAAATCTGTCGATGTGCCACACGGATCTGTTTTCGCCCCTCTCACTGATATCGTTAAGCTTTTATTAGATTCTTAATGCAAACAATTTTTATGAAACATGCTTTCTGTCGTTGTCATAGTGCGTATACACGTCTCGCGGGTTACATTATGGCAAGGTAAGGCATTGTAACTGATTTCGAGTACCCTTTAAATCTAAATGTGACAACTTGTTAGTTCTTTGCTTTTTTTATTTAGGCCCCTCAACAATCT